TCCTCCTCCTCCTCCTCCTCCTCCTCCTCCTCCTCCTCCTCCTCCTCCTCCTTTGCCCCCTCCTCTCCTCCTCCCCCTCCCCCCCTCGCGTCTCCCTCCTCTCCTCCTCCCCTCCCTCTCTCCCCGTCCTCCTTCATCTCACCACTGAGTCGTGCTCCAGCGTGTGACACAGCTCGATGTGCATCTTGCTCGTGGCATTCGGATTGTGCACAACCTGCTCAGCCACGTCATCAACCAGCTCACACGGACATCACGAGAGCTGCCAGTACATTCCAGTCGTCGAGCTGACGGCCTTTGGAGTCCACCGCCTTGGATGGATCTGATGTTTGAGCAGCTCCTACAACAGTTCTGGTTACTGGAAGGAACTTAAGGTCAACAGCGTTTCAAGGTACCAGGAAGCTGTCCGTTGTTTGCAGCTACCTGCGCACCTAGAATGCCAAGGTGTGGTACTGCTTGTCCCAGGCTTGCCAAGGTCGGCAGAGCAGTTGAATGTATAGCAGGTTCTTGTTTCACAATTCCTGACGACACAACGTTCGGGACTTCTTTGCGCGGTTGAACTACATTTCCAGAGGCTTCAATCTGACGTCGGAGCCATGCTATTTCTTCTTCATACTGTCATTTTGTGTAAGACCATGTGGATCAAGTGCAACGGAAGAATCACCTGTCGTTTGATCGATTGATGCTTAGAATCGAAATCTTGAATGATTTGCTGCATCTGATTCATTTCTTCCTTTTGTGCTTGCACTGGAAAGGACAAGATTACACGAACCACACACGCTCAACAAGACTCACGGATCCTCTGGAATTCATCACGCTGGTTCTTAAGCAAACTTGTCTCTTGCGACAGCTGTTCGAATTCAGTTTTGATCTTTTCCAGCACATCGGGGATCCTGGTCTGGTTGTTGGTGACTGCAGTCCGAGCTCCGCCAGATAAGTACATCTTCAAGACAACAGCGCTGTAATGCACGAACTAATCGAGCAATTCTGTTCCCTGCTCGCAAATTCGTAGAGACGGTCAGGGCCAACTCAGCTCAATCCTGCACGAAGACAGACCGTTTAGACAACAATGTTGAGTAGAATCTCGGCACGAATCAATGAGCATCAATTCTCCTGATGGTCTCTCAATGGTATTTCTAGCCTCTGAGCTAACTGGAGCTATTCTAATGCAGGGGGCCTCTCAGAAATGCTCTGGACCGAAAATCATTCACATTTCCAGACTTGTCGAAAGACATTCATATGATACGATCTCAAGGGATTTCCAACGTGACTCCAGAGAAAAGATCCCAACCATGACTATTACTGCTGCTACTGCTGCTACTACTACTCATGGAGCCAGACAGCATCGTTTTTCCTAATCGTCTATGTCCCCCTCTCAATTGGTTCCTCAAGTTTGCAAGCCTCGACCTGCTGCGTCTATATGTTGTCGTCTATGCTTGCAATTTCTTCGATCGTGGTTTCTGTTCCTTACCACATAATCCTTTCACCTCCTCCTCCACCATCCAGCGTCTCTCCATTATTCGGCTATCACCCTATCCCTTAGTTTACATTCTCGTCTATCCTTTGCTTCTTTCTGCTTCATGTTCTCATCGCGCTCTCCCTCTCTTCCTCCTCTCTCGGTCGTCTTCCTCCTCCATCTCCCTCCTCGCCTTCCCCTCCCTCCCCCTCTGTCGCCCACTCCGCATTTCCCGCTCCGTCGCCATGTGCCTCTTTCCCTTCCATCACCCCTACCCACCCCCTTTCACCCCATCCACCCACCTCACAAACTTCCCGAGAGGCAACCAGTACTACCCCTACTACACCACCCTACCCTGGTCCTGCCTGTACACCTGACCTGGGAAGGGTGGACACGGGGTGGGGGGTCCATTGTGGGGTGGAAGGAAGAATGGACCTTTGTAACGGTTCTCAACTGTTGACGACACCAGTAACGGTTCAACGTTCATAACGGTCATACTGAGGGGATGAGGGGCTAGGAAGTTGCCAGCAATGGACTCGTTCGGCGACACGTACAGTAAGTGAAGACACCATGAAGGGAGGGGAGGAGAAGGAAAGAGAGGAGAGGAGAGGAGAGGAGATCATAGGAGAGAAGAGCATAGGAGAGAAGAGGATATGAGAGGTCGTATGAAGAGGAGAGGAGAGGAGAGGAGTTGCAGGTGAGGAAATATAGACAGAGACAGAGACAGAGACAGAGACAGAGACAGAGACAGAGACAGAGACAGAGACAGAGACAGAGACAGAGACAGAGATAGAGACAGAGACGGAGACGGAGACGGAGACGGAGACGGAGACGGAGGAAACGACGGAGGCAGAGACGCAGAGCGAGAGAGCGGGAGAAGGGATGAAGGGAGGGAGAACAAGAGAGAGACTGAAGGTTTGAGGGAGATGGGCGGTAAGTAGATAGAGGGAGGGAGGGAGGCGGTAGATAGGGAGCCAGGCTGTTAGGACGTTAGGAATGAGCGACGAAGCGGAAAAGACAATTGAGGGAAGGGAGGGAGTTGGGACGGGGAGGGGCGTGAGAGGGTAGGGAGGGGAGTCACCTAAACTGACTTTGTCGCCGAAGAGATTGGAATCGGGCTCACCGGGATGGGGCTCTTGTTCACGATGCTGGGGGTATTGCTATTCTTCGACGGGGGCCTCCTCGCCGTTGGAAATGTAAAGTTGTGAGAAATCAACCATGTTACTGACGACACGTTAGCTGTTATTTCTAGCCGGCACATCTTTGATTCTTGGGTTTTCTCGTATGAAACACTTGTAAGATCAACTTTTTGCAGAGCAATGCAGTGCAAAACTCAGACTTTGACTTGTTCATAAGGTTTCTCAAGAAGGAGAAGCTAAGGGGAACCGTTCTCTTCTTTCTCGGCCTTCTCCTTGTCATTTTCAAATGGTAGCTTTTCATTCATGCATCCACTCCTTACATGCAAACAGGCCCAAGATAGGCTTCTTCATGGAGGCTTTTGGATTCATGAATCTCTTTGGAAATTTCATCCCGCATGTCATCATAGTTGCCCGACACACCCCGTTTGTGAAAAATATCTTCGAGCTTCCGGGTATCAAGCAGGTGTTGCCATTCTTGATCCCGTCAATCTGTTTGGATGACTCGCGACAGGCTGCGGACTATCTACAAAAGGGATCGAGCTCTTCAAAACAAGCTAATGCAGCAGTGTGAAATAAAGCATCGATCATCAAGTAACGATACTAATCTTTTCATTGCTACACTGCTGCCTTGTTTAGCAAATATTTTAACGCACTCTTGTCCATTTTGATGCAAGAATTCCACTAGGGTCGCTGTGAGATCCAACCATAGTCAAACAGGTTTGTTGAAGAGAGAAAGCAGCTCACATCAAAGTTAATGTCCTTCCTGATGAAATCATCAAGAACATCTTCACACTGCCATCACGTTAGCCTCATCGTGACGATCAATGTGCAAGAGCCTACATTTTCAAAAGCTTCTCTGAAATCCTGCACAGTGGAAAGTTAGTTCAAGTCGAGCTAGGGAGAATGTGAATCACTCGATCGTTCAAAACTTGCTCTTTCTTCTGCTGGTACATTTCCTCCCGTTTTGCTTGTTTCTCAGCTCGCCTAGCAACAAGATTAGCGTTCTGGCTTGTTTCAATCGAACGAACCGGGCTTCTCTCATGCTTTTCTTTTCTTGTTGTTCTTTCTTTCTTTCTTCCGCCAGGGATATTCGTTGCTGCTCTACCTTTGCTCTTGTCCTACTACAGAGTTAACCAACTTTAGGGTGTTGAAGCACAGCAACCTTTCCCTGTTCCGATCGAGTCGCTTGCTTTTCCGTCGGAGTCCTATCTCTATGAACCTCTTGGCATCCACGTGCTTTGGTGGACGAACCTTGATTCCGGCATTCCTCAGCATCTCATCAACTTTCGCCTTGTCTCTCGTCGATCGACTTGCATTCTGGCCCGCAAGTGTGCTACTCATCTGAGACGATGGTTGGGTTTCGTTCACGTCTACGCGCTTTACAGCAAGTATCCACTCTGTCGTTCGGGGAATCCTTTGCTGCTTTCCATTTTCCAGGGCAACCTTCACTCAAAGAATCAGGTCTCGAACGGTTGTGTTCGATACATACCAGCACATCATCCTGTCCAACGTTAGAAATATTGCACATCCTCGCACTCTTGCTCTTCAACCCTCCATTCACTTTGACGTAGCAAAGCACCTTGCTTCCGGGACAGAGGCAACTGATCGCCGCAAGGAGCGCCTCGTGTTTCCGCAACTCAAGCTCTTGCTCCCGCATTTCTCTCTTTCTCCTCCTGTAAGCTCGATTTTTCTTGCGCCGCAGAGCAGCTCTAGAACGAGCAGCTGGCTCGTCGGTTTCATCACTCATAGGATCATGGCGGAAACCTGCCATGGTGCTAGCAGACTGTCCACGATTCCGAGTCCGCTGACCACCTCGAAGGACATTTCTCACGCAAACTCTCAAGGGGCACGAGGCTCCAGGAAGCTTCTCAGCAAGATCCGCTGATCTTCCTCCTCTCATCGCCTCCTCCTGCGAGCTGACGGCCACCAACACCATCGCAAGCCCCAGCAGCTTGCGGCATGACATGCGACTCGTCACCCCGGGCCCACCGGGCCGCCCGGCACTACTTTTGTTGACTCAGTCACTGAGTTATCGGCGTGGCCTCCGCCGGTTGAGAGTTGACTGATGACACTGTCGCACAGGCGAGACTCGAAGCCTGAGAAACTTAGACAGCACAGAGAACCACCATGACCCTAATCCTGCCTGGCACCGTGGCACTGCCGCACAGTGCTGTCCCCCAAACTTGAAACTACCCGGCGACCGTCATCGGACCTTCTTCAAATCTTGAAAGTTACTCAAAGTTAAGCCCGGTGACCAGTGTACGGTCTGATGTTCACACTGGCAACTCCGGGCCGGGCCCCGGGCCCGGCCGCCGGCGCCCGGCGGGGCGGGCCCGGTCCGAGGATGAGGCGTACACCTGAGAGCTGACCTAAGCTTACGGACACGGACGCTTCTCGCCGCCCCTCTCCCTCCCTCCCTCCCTCCCTCCCTCCCCCGCCCCTCTTCTCCCCCCCTTTCCGTCCTCCTCTTTTCGCCTCCCTTCTCTCTCCTCCTCCCTCCTCCCTCCTCCATCTCCCTCACGCCATCTTCTTTTGTCCTAGCCTCTTTATCTCCTTCTTGTCGCACTCCACAAGTTTTCAGTTTTCCTCAGCATCGCAAACTGCCCAGCAAGACTTGCAATGTTGAACACCTCCATTGCGAAAGTTCTGCTCCTCCTGGCATGGACTACATGCCTCACTCTCGCCCTGCCTCGTCCAGGCAGGGGCGCAGACGATGGTCTGGACAAGGCTGGTATTGTGCACAAAGTTACCGAGGTGTCAACGTGGATCTCAAATCAGATCTCAGGGAGCTTTGCGGTGCTCAATGACTTCTTTCATTGCACGCAGAGCAGCGATGGCAGAGCTTGTTCCCAGAAAGACTCTGAGAGATGCCTCGCGCACACTGCGAGCAAGTGCACCAGCCTCCTCGGCAAGCTACGAGGCTTCCCTCTCGGGGCAGCTGCCATGCTCGTCCTGTTCAGCCTCTTTGTGTGGTTGCTCATCCACCCTATCCAGGTGATGGAGTGGTTTTGGATCCAATCCCAGCTCTTCTCGATCCAACTCAAGTACATCGGGGCCCCTCTTTCAGTACAGTACCAGGTTTTCCTGCTATTGTGGTTGGAGAAGTCGAGAAGGCTCGAAATGCTGCAGATTTCCAAGGCGAATGGAACGATATGGTCGCCGAGGAGTGAGAAACTTCCTCATGTTGACAACCTTGCTGCCAAGAAGAAGAACAAGAAGTCTATGAAAGGAAAGATGGGCCCCGAACCGATCATGAAGGACGTCGTACTGATCGGAGGAGGGCACGCGCACGCTTATGTCTTGAAGAGCTTCGGCATGGATCCGATGCCAGGCGTGCAAGTGACGTTGATAACGAGGGACGTGGAGACTCCCTACTCTGGAATGATTCCCGGGCACGTGGCAGGTTTCTACACCAAGGAAGAGTGTCACATCGATTTGATCAAACTTGGGAACTTCGCGAAGGCAAGAATAATCCACGGTGAAGCGTACGGGATTGATCCGGAAAAGAAAATCATCAGGATCAAGGGAAGGCCAGACATTCCTTATGATGTTCTGTCCATCAACATCGGGTCAGCTCCGAAACTCGGGGACTCGGCCAACCAGATCCAAGACTCTCACGTGACGCCCGTCAAGCCCATCGACGGGTTCAGTGCAAGGTGGGATTATATCGTGTCGAGGGCGAAAGCTCTAGGGGATGCGAAGGAGGGCATCCGGCTGGCTGTTGTTGGAGGTGGAGCTGGAGGTGTGGAGCTTGCACTGAGCATGCAGTCTCGACTTCGACGGGAATTCAGCAAGTTGGGTGCAGACCCAAATCTTGTTGACGTCACTCTCGTATCCCGAAATGATGTTGTGATGCCTTCTCACAGCAAGATGGTACAGAATATCTTCATGAAACTGATGAAGGAAAGAAGCATCAATCTTGTGCTTGGCAAAGAAGCGGTTGAAGTAAAGAACAAGACAATCATCTGTAACGACGGCACTCAAGTTGTCTTCGACGAGTGCGTGTGGTGCACACAAGCAGGAGCTCAGTCCTGGCTCAAGGAGACTGGATTGAAGCTGGATAAAGATGGCTTCATTGAAATTCAGGAGACTCTTGAGTCAGTGAACACCAAAGATGTTTTCTCTGTTGGCGACATCTCTACCATGGTAAATCATCCCCGTCCCAAGGCAGGAGTGTTTGCTGTCCGTGGTGGCCCTCCTTTGACTCGGAATATTCGGAACAGAATTCTTGGAAAGCCTCTTGAGAAGTGGATTCCTCAGAAGGACTTTCTCGGGATCATTGGCACTGGAGAACCATCCCAGTGTGTGGCTTCCAGAGGCACTTTGGGTATCGAGGGAGCATGGTTGTGGGAGCTCAAAGACTGGATCGATCGGACCTGGATGACAGGATACAGTTCTCGCTTGCCTCTCATGGAGATGGAAGAGGACCCTCCCTCGCAGGTTGCCGTTGCCGCTGGTCCAGAAGCTCTGGCTGCGCTCGCCCATGCATCGATGCGGTGCGGAGGCTGTGGAGCCAAAGTAGGAGCAACAGTCCTCTCCAAAGTTATGAACAGAATCCGAAAGGAATTTCCGTTTCCCAACAACGATGTTGTTGTGGGTCTGGACGCTCCCGATGACTGCGCCATCGTCAAGCAAGATCCTCAAGGACGTGCGCAAGTTCACACGGTCGACTTCTTCCGCTCCTTCATCAAAGACCCCTTCCTGTTCGGCAAGATTGCCGCGAACCATGCTTTGAGCGACTGCCATGCCATGTGTGCAGAGCCAAGGACCGCGCTTGCCATCGCTGTCGTCCCATTTGGGATTGAGGCGAAGGTCGAGGAGACTCTGTACCAGATGATGGCGGGAGCATGCACAGTCTTGGCAGAGAGCAACTGTGTGCTAGTGGGAGGGCATACCTGTGAAGGTTCGGAGCTCGCATTGGGGTTCTCGATTAACGGGCTTGTTCAATGGCCAAATGGTGCTCTCACCAAGAACGGCATGAAGGATGGAGACGTTCTCGTCCTTACCAAACCGATCGGCACTGGCACTTTGTTTGCGGCCGACATGCGCAGTCGATCTAAGGGCGTGTGGATCGCCGAGGCCCTCAAGAGCATGTGCCTGTCCAACAAGGCCGGAGCAGACATCCTCAAGGCGCATGGAGCAACCTCCTGCACTGACGTGACCGGGTTCGGTCTGCTTGGCCACCTGTGGGAGATGACGAAAGCTTCCAGCTCCAACGTGGAGCTGGACCTCAGCTCGATCCCCCTGCTGCCTGGTGCCATCGACTGTGTCAAGAACGGGATCTTTTCATCCTTGCAACCCGCAAACGTGCGATTGAAGCGGTCGATCGAGAACGAGGCGGAGGCGCTGAAGCATGAGGCATACCCTCTCATCTTCGACCCGCAGACATCGGGCGGCCTCCTAGCTACCGTACCGGCAGCCAAGGTATGAGGAGAGCGTGGTGAGGAGAGGAACTAACGTTTTCCAAGGCTGAGCGCTGCATTCAAGCACTCCGAGGAAGCGGTTACGCTTCGAGTGCTGTGGTAAGACTCAACCTGACTGTCTCTCTTTTGCTTGACATCCCTTGGCTCAGATCGGCCGAGTGCTCAGCGCTGGCACCTCAGCTGGTTCGATCAGATGTGTTCCGTGAGCACTTTCACCTCGACATGAGATCTTAACACAAGAGAATGCAAAGAATAAGCATGACACAGACAAAGTCCTGTATTATACCATTCTACACGCGCTCTCCTTCATATTCAGCGTTCTCTCCGCGTCCAAAGCTATTCCGAAACACATTGCTAACTCTGCTCTGGCTTCGTCGCAGAAGACTTTCTTTCTCTGCCGTGTCAGTATAGTACAGAATCCATATGCCGCTGGCAATACAAGCAGCTTCCAAGAGCACCCCAACAATATACAAGAGAATATCATGCCATGCCGCCCAAGTCGCGCCGAAGAGCAACGAGAACAGAGGGAAGAAGTTCAACAACTGGATACAAAATTAGATGGTAACATACAAAAATGAGACGGAGGAAAGGTCACAGAGAAAAGGGGAAGTGGACGAAGAAAAAGAGGAAAGACGAAGGGACAAGCCTGTAAAATACTTACAAGCAGTACAATGCACAACGCAATGAATATTTCGACTCCACGCTTCCATTGAAATGCTATCGAAATTCCGAGAAAAACGGTTGCCAGGATGGATATCGGTAGCACGACAAAGCAAACATAATAAAAATCTTCTCCATAAATATTTAGCAATACAGCCAAAAGTTGTAGAACTCCAAGGATAATCAGCCAAGTACGAGCTTGCATGTTTCACTTCGCAGTCAGTAACAAGATGCGCGAACTTTCGCGAACCAGGGATCTGCGAGATTGGCAAGTCAGAGAGATTGGAACAAAATCTTCCCAACAAGGGCATGGGAACGGACGACTGTATGAACAGGCACGCATCCGCATCAGAGGGAGAAACGAGAGAAAGTGACAGGGAAGGAGCGCAAACAAGAGTGGTGATGGCGGGAGAGGAGGGGCGAAATTGAAGCGAATAGAAGACGAAGAATGGATGTTTCTAGGATACCAACCATGCAATCAACATGGACTGGGAGAAGAGACCAACAGCAGAGGAGGAGAGGAGGAGAGGAGGAGAGGAGGAGAGGAGGAGGAGAGGAGGAGAGGAGACCAGCCCATAAGAGGATAGAGAGAAGACAGAACAGAAAGGCTACGAGACGGGAGAGGAGGACATCTGGAAGAGGAGAGGGGGAACACTCGGATGTGCCGCATGCTATACGGAAAGATCATTTCAAGCGCGTCATGTGCTCACCAAACTCTTGCCTCCATTGCGCGGCTTTTCGTCGTATCCGTTACGAAACGGTTATTTGGCTCACGGCTCAGTCAAGGAAATATGGGGATGAGGGTCCACAGGCTCGCGGGGCGCAATGCGAGAGAGTGGGGGGGAGGGTTGAATGAACCGATGATATGCATCCGCGTCTTGCCGGGTGGTTGCTGGTTATGCAGACGATCGTACTAGCTTTGCATTCATCTTCAGCTCCAGCTCTTCATGCTGAGCTCAAGCAGGAGCTGGCTCCACCCCTGCCAGAATTGGCACTCAGAAACTCGTCGATGCCAGCGGCAATGGTGAGGAGCAAGGGAAGGAGGACAAGGAGTCATGTCAATCAGACTCAGGTGCACTTCAAAAAATGCATTCACCCTGAAGGATGCTCACGCAGTGCAAGCTTTGGTTATTCCACTTCATACAAAAGGTTGTTCTGCTCATTGCACCGGTCGAACCACCACCATGACAAGAAACACGTTGTTTGCCAACATGCTGCTTGTCAGCGACAAGGAACGTATTGGGATGGTCGAAACGAAAGCAGCTCTAGGTACTGTAGGGCGCATAAAAGATCAGACGATGTGAGAATCTCGTCTTCCAAATGCGCTTTTCCGGATTGCTCGGAGAAAGCGACGCATGGCTTCAGCAACTTCACGTCGAGGTTCACCTCTCCCATGTGGTGCAAGAACCACTCGGACGAGAGCCAACACGTGGACCTCAGGCGGAGGGTTTGCCAGGCCGAGGAGTGTGAGAGGACAGCGACGCACGGCGACCCTGTGCAGCGCAGGATGATTCATTGCTCCATGCACAAGACAGCAAAGGATGTAGACTTGAGGCACAAGAAATGTCAGTATCTTGAAGGAAACTGCTACCGGCAGCCCAGCTACGGAGACCCAGAGGAGAAGATTGCTCGCTTCTGCTCAAGACATCGAAGCCCGTGGCATGTCGATGTGCGAAATTTGCTTTTCCGACGAAGTGTCCAGAACAAAGCCGTTAATATACTTGGAGGGATTGTGGGCGACTTCGGGGACCAAGTGTATCCAGAGACCGTACAGCTATCTAGTCATCATTGAGCAGACTCTAGTTTCTTCATTTCTCGCAATCATGTGCGGATGGTCTGGTTCAATTTGTTCTGATTTTTACACACTTATTTTTCAGATAATACAAGTCCCTGTTCTTTGAGCTCCTTCGAGAATCTGCAAGAAGAATTTAAAACCTCGTCGTGCAGAGGAAGGGAGTCAAGGCTAACAAGAAGTCCAAGCTCACCTTTCGTACTCAGATTCATACAGCTCCTTCATCTTCTGCTTTCTCCTCACCAAAAGCTCGTGGGCTGCTCCCTCCTGCTCCTCGAGTATGCTGTTGCCAGTTGCAAGTCACAACACGATCCAATGGAGCTATATTCAGCAGACAGCCCAACTACCTTTGTCTTTCTCTGCTCCCATGATTCGCTCGCGACAACGTCTTGATGGACTGAGTCTCATGCCATTTCGCCGTCGCACTGAGGAATGGAAGCGTGAGGAGGATGTGCATGGAACAGACTTTGTCACCTCATTCTCAGTGTTTGCCTTGCGTCTTGATCTGCCTGTTGAAACATATCTGCCATCCTAGCGGATCGGGCCACATTTGCTCCAACCACACGCGACATGGCAGAGCAAGTGAAATTTCTGCTTCATCGTCGTCAAGGACTCGCCTCCTCCTCCTCCTCCTCCTCCTCCTCCTCCTCCTCCTCGTTTGTAGCAGCAGCAGTAGCAGCAGCGAAAGCGCCCATTCATGGCGTTTCATCCATTGTTGAGTCGAATTGGAATCATAAATCCTCTCCGTTGTCAGGACTCTGTGATGACTTTCCACTTCTAATTCTCCGATATCCCTCTCCCTCCCTCCATGCATTGCTCTCTTCTCTTGCTCCCTACTTCTCCTTCCCCCTTCCCCCGTCTCTTCCTCCCTCCCTCCCTCCCTCCCTCCATGCATTGCTCTCTTCTCGTGCTCCCTACTTCTCCTTCCCCCTTCCCCCGTCTCTTCCTCCCTCCCTCCCTCCCTCCCTCCTCCCTCAGTCCCCTGGCATGTTTTAACTGCTTTCGACTGATGGAAAGGAGGTGGATACCGTGGGGGTGAGGTGAAGCCAGGGACTTTGGGGGGTAGGGGTGGGGGTGAGGACCTACAAGCAGTGAGAGGTGCTGCATTTGAAGAGAGGGACAAGAAGTGCTTGAGGGAGGAGAGGGAGGGAGGGAGGGAGGGAGGGAGGGAGGGAGGGAGGGAGCGAGGGAGGGAGCGAGGGAGGGAGCGAGGGAGCGAGGGAGCGAGGGAGGGAGCGAGGGAGGGAGAAGGCAGGCAGTGACTCAAAAGGTTAGAAGGCCACTTGACCATACATGAATCAGATAGTCTTGCCTGATCTTGAGGTATATTGGAATCAAGTTTGGTATCAGCACCAAAGGCTTTGAAGGGGAAGGTAGCAGGGAGTTGCACGATAGCTGGGGAAGATGTTGTTTCATCTCGGAAAGGAAGAAAGAGTATGAATTCAATTTTACTTCAGAATCATAATTAACATGGTTAAATTAGCAGCAAACTTGGTTTTACATGAATGAAATTTCAAGGGAACGTCAGACCTTTCTCAACGAGGTCTTCACGGGTGTAGTGAAACTTGGGTACCACGTCGTCGTACATTCGAGCATGCTCTATCCACGCCTGTTGAGTGAATCCAAGTCAAGTGGCGGCAGCACTTCTACCCGACTCAAGCACCTCAATCCACTCGTGACGAAGATACTTCCCTGTCCGCTGGTGGTCGTACGCTGCCACGAAAGTCTTCCCGTCGGTGGCCACCGAGGTCCTCCACCTGAGAGAGGGTGAGGGAAGCGGGAGGCAAGGGGCTCTACTTGTTGATGTAGTAGGCGTGAGGGTCCGAGATCTCTTCCGGGGGCAGCGAAAGCTCCTCAACCGACTGCGACCGTCAGGTTGAGCGTCATAGAGTGAAGGCACCTTTTGTAAGATGTCCGTGCAGTTCTCACGCGTGATGTTGGGAATCACGCCTACACGGGCAAAGGTCAGCAGCAGGAAAGGAGGATGAGGATGAGGATGAGGATGAGGACGAGGACGAGGACGAGGATTAGGGCGAGCAAGGGCAGAGGTGGAGCATGGCGACCTTGCATTATGGAGATAGCCTTCTCCAGGTTCTCCGGCCCCCTCAGATAGCTCTTGAGGTGCAGCCCAAGTTCCCCTCGCGTCGATTTGCCCCTGAAGGGATGTGAGCGATGCAGGCGGCGGGAGGAGCGCACTTGATCGAAGTTTCGATGCTCTCGGCGAGCGAGAGACGCCGATGGTTGTCGAGGGTCTCATGGTAGACAGTCCGACGGACACCGCAAGGGGGGATCTGCGAAGGGAGCTCAGAGGAGCGGAGGACATGAGGCAGGCTCACCAGGGTGTTGGCGATCTGCGGGACGTAGACGACCTCCATCTCCTCGGGATAGGCGGGAAACAGCGCAAAGTCTCCCACCTGCAGCCCAAAGTCTCATCTCCTCCTTCCTCCTCCCCCTTGGGAGTCTCCCGGACCTGCAGCACGTGCAGCTCGCTGGCGGCCGTGAAACCAGACGCCATCAGCAGCTGCTTCATGGCGAAGTCGGCGTTTGCGATAGTGCAGAACGGAGCTGTGAGCCGCCTGCGACAGCATCACCTCAGCATTCTCTCCTCCATAGCAACTGTGTTGACCTCTGGAGCTTGTGACTGTTCAGGAGGATCGTGGTGAGTTGGTGCAGAGCCGCTCGAGCAAGGCCATTATGCCGCCATTCAGGCAACGAGAATATCATCTCTATCGACCCATCCCGTCCCTCTATCGCCCAGGCCACAAGCGACCGCGTGTTCTCCTGGTGCTGGACGTACATGCCCACGGTTACTTTCCATTCGATCAAGAAGGAAACCTGAGAGCTGAGGGTCATGCTCCGACACTGCCTCTTGTCAGGACTTACGTAATCCCTCGTTGTGTCAGTTTCATAATTCCAGTGCTGAACTATCAAGTCAACGTCCTCCATTCCTATCTTTGACATGCGCAAAGTTGTCGATGACTCTGCGTCCAACTCCAAAACTTCTCCTGACATCATCTCTACACCTTTCACCCCTCTGATACGTCTGACTGCCTGCAAAACAATTGGATTGCGAGTCATTGGGAAGTAGAAAGGGGAAGAGGAAATGGTCAGGTGAGAGAAGTAGGGATAGATAGACCTCTCGCACGAGCTTGTCTTCCGCAACATCCAAGTTTTCATCGCACAGCCACATTGTCTGAGGCTCTAGCCATTGCGCCGGAACCTGCAGCGAGCACATGAGCGACCTGCTTCCTCTGCTTTTTCCGCGTGATACCTCCGCCTCTCGGATGACGAAACCGTAGACGAGATGGTGCAGGCAAGCTGGATAGAGGATGAGGAGCGGTTTGCGCGGCCATTTTTCCAGGTAGACGAGGATTCTTCGCAGCATGGCCCTGCTGATTGTCATGCCTCGGGTTCGAGCCCATCATGTCACTCACACTGCAGCTTCAGGGTTCGATGTGAAGATGTTCAGTGTTGCGGGCACCAAGTCAACTTGGAACTGCAGAGGACGAAGAGAACTGAGAGAAGGCACGCAAGAACAAGAGCTCTGCACCTCCGCTACGACTTGCGTGTCCGGGTAGTCGCAGTCAAACATCACCATCGAATCGCAGGCGCTCTTGAGCCTCCTGTCGTCCTCTTGGCGAGCGGCGAGGAGGCTGAGCAGGTGCACTGAGCCCGGAAGATGATCGACGAGGAAGGCAGCCATGTGGGCCCAACTTTGCTCCTCCTCTTGCCCTTCGCCCCCGTCCTCGACTTCCTTGAAGCCAGCATACTAGCGGGAAGTCGATCAGATCGCACAAGAGAAACCAGGTGGAAGTCACTAACGTTGGACTCGTTGAAGAAAGCCCAGCGCGATCGTTTCTCTCTGCTCCCGGTGTCACCATCATCCTCTTAAACATCAACTTCATCTCTATCTTTGCCAGTATCATCATCATCGTCATCGAAAGTGCAGACGTCACACCCCATAAGCATGGTGTGATCATCATCATCTTCATAATTATCGCCTCCACAATCATGTCGATCTTATTCACATTACCGATTCTCAAGTGCCTCGGCCTCGATCTTCGCGAACGATTCTTTCCTCCTGTCATGCATCAGCAGGTTATACCTCTCCTCTTCTACCCTCTCCTCTCACTTGGCATAAGCAAATTGCATCTTCCTAGCAATCTTCTCGCGGCCAGGCAATACAATTTCTTTGCCGTCGATCCTGAGGTAATTCAGCTGGGATCACAGTGCAAGGAACCAACCTGAAGTTACACCAGTAGAGCTGCTCGAAGAAGCCTCGAGTCTCCTCTTCCGTTGACTCCTGCACCAATCACAACAATCAGAAGACAGAAGGGCAGGAGCTGGAGCTGCAGGAGGCAACTCACAACTCTCATTGCATTGGGGCCGATCCAATCTTCGGTGCCTCGTCGAACTCTCAGCCTGTCTGCATCCTCCCGAACTTCGTCCGACTCTATTTCATGGAAGTTCTCCCCATACCTTAGCAGGAGGAGGAAGATGAGAAGCAGTCTCCTCCTCTCTGTCTTCACCATTCTCTCCACTTCTTGTCTTCTTCTGTGCCCTTCACCACGTTCTCGTTCCACAATTCCCAAAGTCTGGTCACCCGAATGTGAAAGGGGACGAAGGCGAATTGCAAGCTCACCTGTCACGCAGCTCGACGCCGTAGAATTCTTTTACCTTTGACATCTCTTTCTCAACCTTGCTGGCGATTTTCGAAGGAGGAAGGACGAGTCGCTCTAGGGGGGTAAGGTAGTGCTGCTCTAGCGAGACAGGCTTTCCCACCTCCTCCACTAGCCCATGGGGGTCAGGAGGCGAGGGAGCGAGCGAGGCTCACCTGTTGGAGGCTCCAAGACGCGCTTTTCGATCTCAAAGACAGAGTAGTCTCCGTTCGTGATGAGGAACTCAGGGAGCATGGACTCTCTGCCGGGGAGAATAAGATGAAGGGGAAGTTGGAGGCTCCTTACCCGTGAGTCTCGAGGAGCATGCTTATATTTTTCCTTATGTGCTCCTGCATGCGTCGGAAACACTCGTCTCGAATGCGAAACTTCTCGAAGAACTGGTCATAGGGGTGGGCAACTGAAAGATAGTATCAGTCGTCCGAAAGCTCGTATCGTGACTTACCCTTCTCCTTTCTCCTTTCAGGTTGGTTCATATCTTGACTCGTCGACGCGTTCCCCCCGGGCTTCTTCACATCTTCCGTCCTGATTTGCAAGGTTCGCTTCTGCGGCACAAAGCTTTTCCTCGTCCCGCTGTCTGCTGCGACATAAGAAGATCTCAAGTGCTCAAACTTCAACAAGAAAACAAGACAACATCTGGCTATCTCAACACCTCCTGTAGCTCCTTTATTGCTTTACTTGATCGGCTTAGCGTCACAAGGAGGAGGAACAAGAAGAAAGAAGAGAATTGATTTCAAATCACACACAGGGTCAAGCACCATGCTCAACGTCGAGCTGTTTCCTTCTCACAGTCTCCTTGCTTGCGGGGGTTGATCGAGACTTGGCTGGTCGCTTCTGTGCTTCCTTCTTCCTTCCTTCCGTTGGCTCCTGGTCGAGGAATTCGACTTCGTGTTCCTACAATCACTCAGAATTAGAGCACAAGAAAGAAGGGGAGGAAGAGGAAGCAACCTGGAGCACCAGCCAGGAATCGTCCGTTCCGTCGTTCCAGACGATTCGATGCTGTTGAGACCCATCAACCTCTTTCACTTGAACCTGAGGAAGACATGAACTCAGGATGCCATGGTAAATAAAACATGACTTCACCACAAGGCCATTCTTGCGCATCCACTGACCGTCCTCTTCAATTTTGACACGGATCTTCTTTCCGATAACATTTTCGCCAAGAAGTTCAGGAGCTGAAGACTTGTTCCGCTTGGTTCTTGGAGTCTCTCGACTTTCTGTTTTTGCTGGCGTTTTCAGCCCCTCACCTTAAAATCTCTTCACAAGAAAATTGTCACGTTTCAATCGTAACAACCATGCTTTGTCCTGGTCCCCTTCATCAGCAGTCGCTCTTGGCGACGCGCTTCTTTTTGCTCCAGCCTCTCACTCAAGATCTGCAAGCACCAGTTAGACAGTCAACCTCAGCAGAAGGGAAGAGACAAGCTCGCGGTCAAGCATCGGCAGCTCCGCAAGCTTCTGCCTGTCTCCTTCTCCCAGATAACCCTACGAACCATCAGCTCATTGGCTTCATCAACGTCCATCACCTCCGAGTCACAACCATCCTCTTCGCTCGAGCTCGAGTCCGGCTCTGTCTGAGCTGATTTCTTCTGCTGCTTCGGGGCTGACGATTTTTGGGTCTTCACAGCACCCTGAGACTTCTTAGGCGGCTTGCTTTCTTGAGCTTCCTCTGCTGTACAACGAATGTCAAAACCCATGGAGGGGGGGCTGCGGTTCACCTTGGACTTGGGGAGGAAGATTCCATGAGGTTTCCTTGGTCACCTTGTTCATCCAGTAGTATCGACCTGTGGATCTGCTCCTGCTCACTCTCTGCGGATTCCAAAACAAGAGGCATACACCTTGAAAGCACTTGTACCCAATCACCCACCAACCTAGGCGCTCGCGCACTGCCGTTTGAGTTTAGAAAGAGTTGAAAAGGAGGCCAGGGATTGTTTCATACCCGCCAGATTCATCATGAGTCTTCTGCTTTTCTTGCTCACGCATCCTGCTTTCTTCCTGTTTCCTCCTCGCAATCTCTTGCTGCTCTCTTCGCAAGTTCTCATGGAACTGCGGGTCTTGGCTGATAATCTGGATTGGTCTTCCTGCATTCCAACTGGGAGTGTCTCTATCGTGATCTAACGCTGCCAGCACATCCATTGGCTCCAGGAACTTCACGTACGCCATTCTCGAGGGGTACCGAGGATTCGACGGTAGGAGATTCACGTTGCTGACAGAACCGAAGGCATCGAAGTAGTCGATCAGGTTCTGTTCGATCACGCTCTGCACCAGCCCCTTGACGGCGATGCTGTTCCCACTGCTCGGATGCTTTCTCCCGCGCTCGCTCCATCCCATGTCCCGCTGGAAAGGCCTCTCGCCATAGGGGAACCTCCTGTCGTCCCGGCCTTGGAACCGGTTATAGTCCATTCCTCCTCGAAGTCTCGATGCGAGCAGCGGGAGCAAGCATCTGCCCTTCTCGGCACTCTCCGTCTGAACTTCCCAGCGAGAGTCTGGGGAGGACAACTTGGGGGAGCCCGGCGACAACAGAGCAAGTGAGAGAGTGAGGTTAAGGAGAATCAGTCTCTTGTACCCCAACATGCACGTCACTGCCCTTGCCCGTGGCTTCCACTCCATCACCATCGAGAGAGTCGTATATTTCACCTTGCTTTCCCTCCTTCTCGCCTCACCTCTTCCTCCTCTTCCTCTTCCAACACCACGTCCTCGCCGTCATGCCGCGGAAGGATCCCTTCGATGCGTCCCGGGGTGCGCGGCTGGGTGCGCGGGTGCAGAAGGGGGGGGGACTGGGTGCTGTCCCTGTCAATCTCCTATGAATTACTCTGAGGCGAACCCACACAAGTAACAAAAAAAGACCTCGTTTGATAGAATGTTCCGACGGTTATCACTGAGTAGATTCAAGGTAACGGTTGGGGCCACTTGCGATGGCGAAGGCAGTGAAGCAAGGAGAAGGAAGAGGAGGAGAAGGAGGAGGACGAGGAAGGAGGTTGGAGAAGGAGAAGGAGAAAGGGAGAGAACGTGGAAAAGAGCATGAGGACAACCATGCTAGAGCTTGGATCCGTCGGAGCATCCTGGTCGGGATCATGGTCCTCGCATGTTGCTTGCGACTTGTAGGGTGGTTGAGGTGCGCGATCTCGACCTTGTCGAAGCTCTCTGACTGAAGCTGGCAGGAGAGGATGGGAACTCAAGGGATCGAAGTCGTACTTCCACTTCCGACTCGCTTCTCTGATCAAGGACAAGCCCTTCAGCCCCTCTGACTGGTGAGTCATGGCACGATAGCTCGGGATCCGCTCTGACGAGCTCTCAGGCAGGACGAGAGGACATGGTACCCTGCAGGAAGAGATCTAGGGAGGAGTTGCTACCCGGGTGTGGCACTCGCTCTCAACCTGCTGCTCTTCTTCGTCGAGCGTTTCTCCCTTGCGATCGAACCTCTGCACATCGCGGTTTTAATGGGGCCAGCGGCTGCTTTAGCATGTGTTGGAGGGACGTATTGTCTCGCACGACAGGTGAGGAGGAGGCGGAGAATGAGAAGTAGAATACAGGAGGAGGAGGAGGAGGAGGAGGAGAAACGAAAGATGGTGCGCTCCAACTGCACTCTAACGATACCAAACATTTGCCTTGAAGGCATTGACTGCGTCATGAGTGCAGATCTGCGGTCGCGACGAAGAGGCGCTCCTCGCTGCTTTCTTCTCTAGCGTGATCCCAGCGCTCCTCTCCTGCACGGAGTGTGGAGTGCTAGACGGGGTCGGCATCGGGTGCTCTTGCATGATCTTTGCGTTCTACCACGTCGCTCGAGGGAAGGGGAGCAACCGGACTCTTTCCTCGGTCTTCGCGGGCTTCCTCTACTTTGCCATGGCGATCAGCTGGGAGGAGCATACCTTCTTCCTCAACCTCTTCGCCGTCTACGTGCTGTTCCTCCTGTTCAAGGGGTAAGGCATGCTTCCTTCACCCCCGCTGCCCCGTCACCGCACGTGCAGGTTGGACGCGGCGGACTTCAACTTCACGTTCCAGGTGGTCTACCTGGTGGGCATGAGCTCGACTCAGCTCTTCTTGCGCCATGTCCCTTCGATCCTTACAAGGGAACACGCCATCCCCCATGCAGCCTTCTTCCTCCTCCTCTGCAGGGCCTCTGGGATACTCGCGGGTCGTTCGCTGCCCTTCCTTTCGCTGCCCTTCCTCTCAGCAGCGCTCCCCTTGTGCCTGTTTTTCGCTTCAGGGTGGCTGGAAGGGGGGGAGGGAGAGGGAGGAGGGGGGCTCTGGCGGCAGATCCTCCCAATGAATGCGTCGAGCGCGTACGAGACGATGACGTCATCAGTCTCGGAGAATCAGCCGACGACGTGGTCTTCCTTCTTCTTCGACTTGCACTGCCTCCTCTTTCTTGCTCCTCTTGGTATCTACCGCTGCATCTCAGAGCCTAACGAGCGATCGTTCCTCCTTATCTTCTACTTCTTTGCAAGGTGACCATCTCCTCCTCCTTCTCCCCCTCCTTGCCCTCTGCCATCTCCTCCTCCTCCTTCTCCCCCTCCTTGCCCACTGCCATCTCCTCCTCCTCGAGGATCATCTCTTCATCCTCCTCCGCTGTCACCTCCTTCTCCTGATAGAACACATTCCAGTCTATTCCTCTCAGCTCTCAAGGTTCGCTTCATCGTCCTCTTCGCACCGGCCGCGTGCATCATCGGGGCGATCGGGGCCTCTTCTCTCCTCTCCAAGAATTTTCTGCACGTGAAGGTAACCTGCAAGCTCTTGCTCTAGTGAGTGAGAAAGCTTCCAGTCTTCCAAGAAAGTGAGCAGGAAAGGGACGGAAGACACGACGAACCGGGACATTGCCCTCCTCCTCCTCCTCGCCCTCTTCTTCCTGTTCATCATGTTCCTCTGGCACTGCTCATGGGTCACCAGCGTCGTGTACGCGCCCTCCACCTTGAAGTTTGCGGGGCGGCAGGTGAGCGTCTCACCACCTCCCCCTCCCCTCCTCACCTTCTAGCAGAGCGACGGCAACCGCACGCGGTTTGAGGACATGGAGGAAGGAATGACGTGGATCCGCGACAACACGGACAAAGACGCGCGGGTGCTGAGCTGGTGGGACCATGGGCATGAGCTCGCATCCCTCGCCGACCGCGTCACCTTCCTCGACGCCAGCGGCTACAATCTCTCCCAGGTTGCAGCAGTGGGAGCCATCATGGCGTTGCCGGAGGAGGAGGTGAGAAACAGCTGGAGAGGGAGGGGTGTGTGACGCGGGAGCAGGCAGCTGCAAGGTGCAGGAACATGGGAGTCAATTTTGTGCTCGTGAGGTTCGGGGGGATGACGTCCTTCGCCAGTGATGACATCAGCAAATTCCTCTGGATGGTGCGGGCAGCTGGGAAAGAGCTGAAGGAGCCGGAGGATGCTTTCCTCTCAGCTGGGGGCGTGCTGAGGGTAGGGAAGGAGGGGAGCCGGCGCTTCCGCTCCTCGCTGCTCTATCGCCTGAGCTTTCATCGCTTCTCCTCCCAGGTCTCCGAATTCGGCAGGCCCGCTGGGTTCGACCGGGTGAGAGGAGAAGTTGCGGAGGGAGGCAAAGAGCCGCTGCAGCACTTCGAAGAAGTCTTCACCTCCCAGCATTGGCTTCTTCGCCTTTATAGAGTTAAAAACTTGTAGACATCACCATTCCTTCTCTCCTCCGATCGTCCGCCCCTCCGCTCCCTCCGCTGCTGCTCCTCTGCATCTCGTCTCGGCAGTAGTATGGAAAAATGTTTTTGTCATGCCTTCCTTCATTCAGCCAGGGAATTCCGCGCCTCACGCATAGCCAAGGAGAGACTGCAAGCGCTTCAGCTTGTCTTCATCCTCAGCCCAGCTCTCAGACAAGGAAGTCCACAGCCTCGACATAGCTGGGTGCTCCTGCAGCATTACTGACTTGCTCTGCTCTGTGCAAGGCAGCAGCACGGCGAGCAGGCGGAGGAGTGAGTCACGAGAGGAAAGAGACAAGATCCTTTCCCCAAGAAGCAACCGATGCTCGTTGAGAGAAAGGGATATGTTCTCTCCCATAGCGTCTAGCTCGAACCCTTCTTCTTGCATCACGCCGGTTGACCACACCAGCATGAGCAGGTGGCGGCTCGACGTGCCTTGCATCTTCTGCGCCGACATGAGCTGCAACAGATTCTGAAGCACTTGCGGCGCCATTTCGAGTCGGCGGAGGTAGGCACAACACCAGAGCAGCTCCGCAAGGTCCTCAACAGTGGGAAGGTTGCGAGCCGAGCTTAGGGGCTGATTGCTGGCGGATATTCCCGTCTGATTGGGCATGGTGGAGTTGATCAAATCAAGAAGCCTGTCTGTCAATCTTGGCTGGTTCAGGGGGAGCTTGACAAAGGAAAGAAGGGCCTTGCAAAGGAAGGTTGTGGAGTTGGAAATCGCATCCCCTTGCACCTGGAGGAGACTTCAGCACAGCAAGCACCTCTTGCATCCTCACCTTTGTCTCGAAGGACTGCTGGAGATCACTGGAAGGTATGAAGGCAATGTGCGAGAATGCCCAGAAGGTCAGGATCCAAGCTCGCACTGAAGTGGTGCTTCCACTCGCCTCCAGCTCGCGCGCCACCTCGGACGCGAGCCCGCAGTCAGGCACCCTGCTCTTCGCAATGCAGCAGAGGATGTTTCGCATGTCTTTGGAATTCCTCGGATTCACAGGACGAGAGGAAACTTCCTGTGCAACATCATAGACGAGATCACCATACTCATCGCTTGATTCTGTCAATGCCCAGCAGAGGTTGGCCAGCTCTTGAGTAGAGCAGTTGCTGAACCCTCGTTGTCTCATCTCACTAGAGAAACGAGTGTAAAGCCATTTGGATGGATGGTGATATCGTGCACACGCCCAGAGGGTCATTGAAAGCTCAGCAGGCTTCAACGCACTTATGTTCCTCCTGGAAAGCTCATCGTCGATGTGCGTCATCACAGCATTGCTCTGGTACCCATAGAAGGCGAACGCCCAGACCATGTTCGCAAGGTTCTGATTGGAGTAGTTGGAGACTCCTCCCTCGCAAATCACTTTTTCGCACTTCTCAAAGACTGAAGCAAACCGAGGGGAAGTCAGGCCGGACTTTGCGATTCCAAAGATCGCCATGCTGAGCTGCTGGCTAGTCAGAGTGTTCAGGTCGCGCGCGACCATTTCTGTTGCGAGAACTTCCATCGCCTTCTTTATGCTCTCCTGCAATTCATAAGCTCCTTTCTTCAGCTTAGTCAGCCATATCTTTCCCATTGCCCATGTTACACTGCAGATAGAACCGCAGGAGAGTGAAAGGGTGTCTGACCTCAATCGCTCCAGCAGGGCACTCATCAACGACTGCGTATTGTGATGATGGATATTCTTGTCGATAGTATTATGATCTGCAACAAGCAAACAAGAAATCTTGTAAATGATCTGGGAGGCCATCCCGCTGCTCAGATCGCTGATGGGAGAAGAGGCAAAGTAACTATCGAGGCATCTAATCAGGTCCATGTACTTGCGGCACGTTTTTATATCCTCGGCCAACATTTCCTCTGTCGGCTGCCTGTAACCTCCGGAGTCCCAAGACTTCCCTCTGTGCATCTTCACCGGCTGCAACGATCCTTCCCCGTACTGCATGCTGCCCCGGAGCCCCATCGGCATTCGAGCCCCGCTGTGGAAGCCTGGGTTGAGGGAGGAGGCGGGTCTTTTCCCAGGTGATGGAACAAAGGACGGCATGTCTGCACGTGGAGCGTAATTATCCTGTGCGACGTACTGGGGTACGCTGCCAGGCGCTGGGTACCCGTGAGGTCTTTGCTGCATCATGCCCAATGGCTGCCCCTCGTTCCAGCCTACATCTGCTCCGCCCACGTCCTGCTGGAACACATTCTTTCCATGCTGGTAGGCGTTTTGCGCTGGTTCGGCGTGCGGTGGAAGCATCCCCGTAGGATTATTCATGCCCTGCCATGGTCTATCGATGTACTGAGGTGTCATGGAGGGCGGAGAAACTGCAGAAATGACGCGAGTGCATGTCCAAGGGTTCTTCGAAGCGTCCATGTTCCTGCGAGCCTCAATCTTCAGCCATTGCCCTTCCTCAAATTGTAGTCCAGGGGGACGGGGACATTCCTGAGGGTGCGACAAGGGTAGGTACTTGTCTTCGTCCAGAACTGCGAACATGCGAGGGCCTCGCCGCACAAGTTTTGTGATCTTAGAAACGAACATGACCCGTTCTCCTCCATCCATGCCGTTGTTTCCTACTGACGTCAGCGCCCCAGGCATGACTTGCCAGAGTAAGATGAAGCATAGGAGTCTCAATCCCTTCCATCGATCGGCAAGCATGTTGCTGGGGCCAGTGCCCTCACCGGGAGGGGAGGGCGGAGGATCGCTCAGCCCTCTGAGATTCAGTCGCAGAGCAGGAGTCCCTCTGCGCTCTCCGTCATCGCTTCATCGCCTACGTCCCTCTCCTCCTTCTCGTTCCTCTTCTCGAGCCATTCAGGGCGCATCGACTGACGGTTACGATCCCGATACTTTCCGTTGCAACGGTACGCCGCGCCGGTACAAAAAGAAGTTGAGTGAAAAGCTCGCCCTGTAGGCTGTCCGACTCTCACCCCACCATGTTTGTTCGAGCGGCGGCAGGCGGCGGGAGCCTCGAAGAGCGCGCATGCGTCGTTATCGGCGCTCCTCCAACCCTCCAGGCTCCTTCTCTCTTCCAGGCAGCTCAGTCGGCAGTGTCTCCTGCCTCTGAGATCGATGAGGCATCCTTCGCCAATGCCGTCAAGGGATTGGATGCGTCGGATGCTGGCGAAGTTCTCCCGTTGCTCGGTAAGAAGCTGACAGTCATCAGCCTCCCGACCAAGCACACTCGATGCAACTGTCCTGCTCGTCCTGACAAGGTTCCTGCTCTCCTGAAGCCACTGCTGGCCCGCAAAGACACGACGGTTGTGGTTGCATGCCCTGCAGAGCATGTCGTGGCTCTCTCGGCGGCTGTGACCCGTTCATGCCCACCGTTGTTTGATATGAAGTCCAGTCAGCGAAAGAAGCCTGACTTGCAAGTCCTCGTCCTCGTTCACAAGGGCCAAAATTTTGAGGTCGCGTCGGAAGAAACTGTACGTCAACTAAATGAAATGGCAAGGGCTATTCGCTTGGCTGCCCGGCTGGTGGACACTCCAACAAACTACATGCACACAGATGCGATGATAGATGAAGCGAAGCAAGTGGCTCAGCTTGACTGCAAGACAGGAAAGGTTTCGATGGAGGTCATTCGCGACAGGGAACTGCAGGAGAAGGGGTTCGGGGGCCTGTGGAACGTGGGCAAGGCAGCTGAGCATGGACCAGCCCTGGTTGTCCTGACCTACACTCCCAGTGACATGCCAAAGGATGCTCAGACTGTTTGCTGGGTTGGAAAGGGCATTGTGTACGACACTGGAGGGCTGAGCATCAAGGGAAAGTCAGACATGCCGTCCATGAAGAGAGACATGGGGGGGTCAGCGGCTGTCTTGGCGTCCTTCTCGGCTGCTACTCAGATTGGATGTAAGTTCAAGCTCGTCGCTTTGTTATGCCTGGCTGAAAACTCAGTTGACTCCGTCTCCATGCGTCCTGATGACATCATTACAATGCTGTCTGGCAAAACCGTTGAGGTGAACAACACTGATGCCGAAGGAAGGCTGGTTCTTGCCGACGGAGTCAACTACGCTGCGTCCACGTTCAACCCAGACGTGATTCTAGACATGGCAACCTTGACAGGAGCTCAGTGCATCGCAACCGGCAAGAAGGTACAACTTTACAGTGATCACAGCAACTTTGACTCATCCCTTGCTTGGTAGCATGCTGCAGTGCTATGCAACAACACAGAGTCAGAGAAGAAGATTGTCGAAGCTGGCATCGTGACCGGAGATTTGGTCTATCCTGTGGTTTATTGTCCCGAGTTCTTCATGGAGCAAGCTTTCCGCTCAGAGGTGCATCTTTTCTCAGAGAGCCTCCAAGCATTCTTCCCCAGAGTCTCATTCTGCTTTTAGGTTGCAGACATGAAGAATAGCGCCGATGACCGCAGCAATGCCTTGTCGTCTTGTGCAGGGCATTTCATTGAAGCTCATCTGCCTGAGAGCTACAAGGGCGTATGGATTGTAAGTTGTTGTCGCCGGGAGCATGAGTGTAAAACGACTAACTCCTTGGGTGCTAGCATATCGATATGGCGAAACAAGTGGAAGAGAACCAACGAGCTACTGGATGGGGCGTAAGTGTCCTGCTCAAGTGCTTTGACATCATGAATTAGTTCAGTGAGGACCTAGTTTGTCGAACATGATGGCAACTCTCTCTGTCCAATAAAACAGTGTGGTCAACTGTCCCTCCGGAGTCGCCGGACAGAGCCCCCGAGCAGTGCAGTGCAGTGCCACGGCGGTTTCCGGCCTCGAACGGTTCAACGCCGTTTGGAGTCTGGCAGGCCCGGGGAACCGGGCGCTCGGCGGCCCGCACTGAGTTGCCGCACGGCACTGCGGCAGCTGGCACCTTTGACTGAGAGAGAGTTGTCGGGGAGTTGACTGAAGATTATTTGTGACGCCCGAAGGCATGGTGGGGCAAGGGAGGGCATCGCTGCTGCTGTGCGTCTTTGCTCTGGTGGTTTCATCCTGCTCCTGCTCCTGCTCTCCTCAAGCTTGTCCCTCTAGCGCCAAGATGCATGGAAGTCCTGACGTCGCACGACTGAGAGGCGGGCAGGCAGGGGCTGAGGATGCTACTGTGCAACAAGCGGCCGAGCAGGGTGGAAATGCAGAAGATTTCGCAAAGGAGCAGATGGAGTATTGGAAGAGCTTGAGCAAAGAACAGCAGGACCAAATCCTAGAGGCTATGTCTCCCCAGGAAAGAGCTGCCACAGAAGCATTTCTTGCTGGGAAACCTCAACTGACCGTGTCCGAGGAGTCCGTGAAGTAAGGACCTAGGGAGGTGTCAGACTTGGACTGAATCAGAGTGCTGTGCAGGACCTGGCTTGCCCTCTCAGAAGAAGAAAGACAACAACAGCTGGAGACCATGACTCCGGATCAGCAAGAGGTGTGTAAAGACTTTCAGCAAGACATGATTTTTCTGACTCCACGGGTGCAGGCGATACTTTCAGCGGTGGAAGGGAAACGACAGACGATTGCAATGCAGGAAGGCGCAAAGTGAAGCAAGGAGTAGGTAGAATGTTCTGTTTATAATTTACATCCGTAGCTTAAGCCAGCTGATTGTGACTTGTATCCATGCTTCAAATTTCGAAAACCCCTCACAACTCTAAATGACCGCAAATAACATGCAAGGAGTCATCTTAGAGCCAAAGAATCTTCGCGAAGAAGCTCTAATAATCGGGGAACTGAAAGTTATCCGCCATCACGTTATACTCTGCTCGTTGATCAGACAAACAAGTTCACGAGATGTGCTGACTTTACCCGGGCCATCGGAGTTAGTCACCGAAGTGGCTGAGCCCGGTCGGTTCATGTAGTTACCTACCAACTATGTCAGAGACAGCGGAGCGGCAAGGCGGGCGAGCTAACTCACGAGCATTCATCGTATGCCTCCACTCCAACAACTGGGTGCGACGAGACGGAATCTGAGACAACTGCTGCGACAATGAGAGAGTCGCTGGGTGTGGTCACGGTAGCACTTTCAACCTGCTCAGTGGTCCCCTTGGTCTGCATTCGGTATGCTGCAGCGTTGCCAGTGCCAGGGAAAGAGCAATCGACGCCTGAAGCAGTCATCACGGGGGAATTTGAATTTGAACATGGCTTCGGAAGTTGCTACGTACCTGGTCCAGTCTTCCCCGCCGGTGTTACCGCTCCATCCCAACCCTGAACAACAATAGACTCAGACACCGGGTAACCAAGGACGTATTCCTGCAGGAGACGACATGAGAAGAAACAGACCTTCCCAGCCCCATTGACTTCAGGGTGCTCGACAACACACCACCAAGGCAGCTGCGAACGGGTCAGACCAGGACGTGGGATCATCACCGGTAAGAAGACAAGGACGAATTCTGTGGGAGTGAAGCTCAAGATTCAATCTACGCACATTGTATTTCACATCGTTGTCGGCCGTGACTTCCAAAAGTTGTTGTTTTCTCATTCCCTGCGTTGCAGCCTGAAATCAATCATTCAACGAGGTGGAATGCAATATCAGATCTTAAAATTGCTACCTTTTCTTGTGGCACTACCATGTTGGATTTAGATCTGAAAAACTATTTACCACCTGAAACCACATTATGGCCGAACAGACCTTCCGGTGTAAGGATCAATCAACATCCATTTCTTGTAGAGGACTGAGGCATCCTGCCCATAGCTGTGAATTTATCGAAAATCAATTGGAGAGCCAACATACTTTCACTGCAGCCTTGGCCGCAATCCTGTTCTTTTTGTGCCAATTTTTCATGTATGCCGCCTGTTCAGACTTCGCATTCGTCATAAGGGTTTCTGCATAACTGCAAGATTTTGTCAGATATCAGATTCTCGGATTCGTATGCATACCTATTTGAATCGAAGTAACCATTCTTCATGCGGAAATTGCGCTCTTGCGCCAATTTCTGCATGTACGCTGCATCTGTAAGCTTGCTCGCCCCAGCTTCGTCATTCTTGTCCCGCAGAACCGAGCTCCTGGGTTGCTTGGCAAGTGCATGTCCTTTGCAAGAACAAAAATGACCTTTCGTCCCGAATCATCTCGAATCAATCATACCTGGGAAGTGCTGCAATCCAAAGAAATGTTTCAGACGGTGTCGGCCACTGTGGTCCTGAAAACCAACTTTGAGTTTTCTTGAGTTGGCCAACATGCTACCTCACCAGATGATCCTTCTCACGATCGAAAGCAAACTTGGCACGCTCAGTTCGCACATTCGATGGCGTCAGCGTATGCCAACTTTCAAGAGCGGCGGCTCGGTTCGACATCATTCGTACGGCCACCAAGGACATGGCAAGGGTTCCCAGAACAACGGAAGCGGCAAACAAGGCCCTGGAACGGTACCAAGTGAGTATGATTCATCCTCATTCTCACCCCTGGTCTTCTCCTCCTTCTCTGCCACCCTCCCATCCTCCTCTTGCGACTCTTGTGCCTTACCATCCAGTCTGTTGTCGCCGCACCATTTTTCCCTTACCGTTACAGAACGTTACATTTGACCCTTCGTGAGGCTGATCTGCTTGCTTCAGTCACGGTGTTTGGTGAGTTCTGAAAGCACTGACATTAGTACGAGACCGTTGACTCTGTGAGATGAATCGTACAAGATGTTTCATTCTAGGGCTGGCCCTTTCTTCGTAGATATGACGGGACCCACGCATCACAAGGCCCCTGAGGGGCAAAGAGTGACGGAATCCTTCTCTTGTTCGTTATCTCAGAAGTTCTCTCCGAGTCCTCAGACTCTCTTATCTTATCCTCCTTCTCTCGTCATTCTCGGCTGACATGATCCACGGATCACCGAGAAAGTTTGTGTTTTTATCTTCTTGAACTGTAGCAGTAGAGTACGGTAGAACTTCGGAGATTGACTCGGCCCCGGTGACAGGCTTGCCAAGTTGTCACGTGTCAGACTCCCGAGAGCCCGGGGGTGTGGCAAACCGGGGCTGGAAAACCGTGCGACAGGTGGCACTGCGGCAAGGCAGCCCCGCGGGCCGCACTGCAGGAGAAGGACTGGGGGTCAGTGCAGCCGGGCCCCGCCCGCCAGCTGCTGCCTGTGCTGTTCATCGGAGTCCCGGAACTTGAACTCAGTCCGGGCCGGGACTGCTCCGGGAAGTTCCGGCGGAATTTCTCTGGTCTACCATAGTAGGTGTGTCCGGTACGCAACTATCTGTACGTTCCCTGGTACAAATGTTACGGACAGTCCGTTAAATTTCACTACAACCGTTTTTAACGATGAACGTACAGATAGTACGATAATCGCTATTTCTCAAATCCGAGCAAAATAAGAACGTTTAGTACTTACTGTAGGTTCGTCAAATTTAAAAGTCAAGTTTTTAAACCGCCCCCCCCTGCCCACCGCCCTGCCCCCTCTCCCATCCTTCCCGCTCATCAGCCCTTCGCTTCCGACCGCGATTTACCGCGATCCTGATCAAGTTGATGGTTAGATGAATGTTCTCTGATGAATACATCGTTCATTCGTTCATTAATCGTCAACCAACCATCGTTCTTTTCTCAAACCTCGATCATTCAAGGCGGTGCAAACCATTTTTAGATCAAGACACATTCGTAAGTTTCCACCAGGCTATCAACAGAAGCCATGTCATAAGGCAAGTGGATGAAATTCCAAACCGAGCTGTAAGAGTTTACTGATAAAGAGTTTCTAGTAGAGCAGCTGAATCTTGATATAAAACTTCTCTAATTCAATCAAGGTATTCCCACCTTCAATGTGCTTGTTCAATATACTTTTCCTATCCCCGCCAATGTCTGACTCTGCAGTACGGATTGCATCGAGGTGTTCATTGATTGTCTTTGCTTGCTTCCATTCATCTACAGCGAGTGGATCTCGCCCGGCATTCAAAGCGTCGCTTCATGATATAGATTTCTGTGCGAGCATGATTCAGGTTTGCTTGCCGCATGCTGCGAATTGCCCAGTACCGCGACAATAACAAGCCTTCACATCGGATGCATACAGTCTTTTTGACTTGCCTGTGCTTCAAAGTTGAAACGATAAGAAGCCTTTGCCTGTAGTATGCAGCATGAACCTCGTTGCATGTTTAACCTGGATTCTTTTCGTTACGCACTCGTGAATGCGCGGCTTTCATCCATGCTGCAGAAAATGGACCTGATTCTGAATGGATGATAACATGTATCTGACATCACCTATCTATCTTCACCAGCAACGTCGGCGGAACCGCTGTAGCTTCCATCATCAACTTGGCCGTCCCGCAGCATGGCAAGTGGGTCCTCATCATTTTGTATGTTCGATCAAAAATTTGAAAACTTTGAAACAAATTGAAATTCGTTCTTTCGGATAGTACAGCTCGTACCGAATCACTTTTTGAAATTCCTACTGTACGCGAATTTAACCTACAGTAACAACGTACAGATAGTAGCGTACCGGACACACCTAGTCTGCGGGCACCTTGTTGCAGACCCGAGACATAAGGCGTCTTCGCTGGTCAGGAAGGAAGAGCAAGGCAGGGCAGGGACTGTGGTGCCGCCGCAACCCTAGCGCATCAGCTCACCCCAAGAAGATCCTTATCCCGCGTTCTCCTCTTGAAGCTCTCTCGCTCTCTTCCTTTTGCTCTGCATCTCTTCGCTGAGCGATTTCTGGCTCAGCTACCGAGTCAACTTTTGTAGCGTCCTACAGTCTAGCGTCTTCGATGAGCCATTCAAGCACCTTCCTTCTCTTCACCTTGTCCCTCAGTCTGACTGGAGTGGTGGGATTCCAGCCCATTGCCTCATATCACTCACTTCATTTACGGCCTACATCATCATGCCTCCACCAACACCAAAGGTACACATTAGGAGTCAGGAAGGGAACAGTTCCGATGGTTGTCAACATGAACCTTCAGAGCAAGGATAGGAATGACATTTCAAAGACGGTCTGGAACCAAGCTCTGTCTGCCTTCATTGCGATTTCTCTGGTTTTCGGTCAATCCCACCTTGAAGCAAAAGCTGCACCCCCTCAGACCAAGGTCGCTCCTGTGCAGGCCAACAATGTGGCAGCCGAAGAGAAGAACTCCAAGATCGAGGAGAAGGTAGAGCTATTTGCAGAGATCCTGAAAGACATTCAAAACCTCTATGTTGAACCTGTCGACCTTGACAAGCTGACCGAGACTGGTTTCAACGCGATGCTGTCCTCTCTAGACCCTTACACGGAGTTCGAGAACGTGCAAGCAGCTCAGCAGATGAAAGTGCAGACCTTTGGCAACTATGGCGGGGTGGGTCTGGTCATCGCAAAGCCCAAGAACTCCAAGGTGAATGTGAAGCTTGTGGTCTTATCTGACTCCCCATCAGGGTGAAGAACTCCCTTACATCAACATTATGGGGGCATTCGAGGGCTACGCGTTCGATGCTGGGCTGAGGGCCGGAGATGTACTGTTGAGCGTGAATGGCAAGGACGTCAAAGACCTTCCTGTGGACAAAGTGAGCGAATTGCTCAAGGGGGATCCGGGCACTAGCGTCAAAATTCGCTATTCCCGTCCTGGCATCGCGGAGGTCCAAGAGCAGGAGTTGAAGCGAAGGGTCTGGTGTTTTGCTGATCCCTTGCTTGCCTGACTGACATGGTGACCAGATTGTCCTCCTTCGTGACGTTCCCCTCGGCATGATGATCGGAGATGAAGCCGAGAAGATTGGGTGTGTTGCGGGAGTGCTCTCAGAAATGATTGACGGGTTTTTGCAGGTATGTCAAACTGCAAGGCTTCAGCTCATCAGCAGCTGCAGAGCTCGCATACGTGGTATGATCTCACTTGCCTGCCTGCTAGGCGTCGGGTAAACTGATCTGGCCTTGTAGATTTCGCAGCTTCAGTCAAAGAGCCCCCTCAACGGCCTGATCTTGGATCTTCGCAACAATCCCGGAGGGCTGCTAACGTCGGCTATCAAGGTGTCTCGAGATGGTTCTGGTGGATCGTCTGACGGGGGTGCAAGGTTTCCGATCTCTTCATCGGCGAAGGGAAGGACATCGTGACCACCCGAGGACGGCTGATAGAGTCGAACATCGCGAGCGACACTGCCAAGAGCGAGCTGTCGCAGGATGAGAACAAGGTGGACAAGAGCCTGCTGACAAAGTCGGGGCAGAAGAGCAAAACTTCATCGTTCGAGACTGTCTACAAGGTCAGCTGTCGGCGGAGAGGAGCGCCCACTGAGAGGATGTGTACAGGCGATGCCAATCCTGATCCCAGCAGGAAACAGTCGTGTTGCTTTCCATCCTCCTCTGCTAGACCCAAGCACAAGACTGGTGGTCCTGGTGAACAAGGTCATTTGGATGAAGAAGGGATTTCCTGCTCCCGCCTCACATGTCCAGCAGAACACAGCCAGCGCTTCGGAGATCGTTGCTGGAGCCCTGCAGGTGTGTAGTTCGCTGTCCACGGTGAGGAGGAGTGACAGCTGGAGTCAGGATCATGATCGCGCGGTGATCATAGGTGAAACTACATACGGAAAGGTGCGATGCCTCTCTCCTGACCCAAAGTCTTCTCCTGTACGTTTTCATCGACTCACACGACGTGCGTAGGGTTTGGTTCAGCAGCTTCAAAAGATCGGGAAGGGAGGAACGCAGGTAAGGAGGAAGGGGAGAGGGGTGAGGGATCAGAGGGATGGATTGAATGTCTTCCACAGATCAAGTTCACCGTTGGCAAGTACTACACGCCTTCTGGAAGGTTGAGCTATTTGCTTGAGAAGAATCGAGTGTTCGAACCTTGAGAACAGGTGCATTCAGAGCAAAACCTACAAGGAAGCCAAGAATGGTTTTGTTGGCACTGAGGCCACAGCAATCGCCGAGAGAAAAGTGAGGCAGGCACAGGGTCTTCCCTTGCATGACATCTGTTCAAGGTTTTCTACACTGACAATGGGAGGCCCGTGCGGGACGCTGGCGGGATCGAGCCGGACATTGCGGTGAGTGCTGACTAGTTGAGGTTTACGGGAATTCCTGACTGGTCTGTCAGATGCAACCAGCTCAACCCGGACAGCTCGAGAAGGAGCTGGAGAAGCGAGACACGTTCTTTAAGTTTGCTACAGAATGGCAGAAAGTGAGCTCAGGGTTGACAGGCTCCAGTGGCTGACCCGCCTTACCCGCAGAAGCATGTCGATGACGGGGAGGCGCTAGCGAAAGGCCCGTTGCCAGTCGTTACGGATGAAGTCTACAAGGAGTTCCAGCGATATGTCGAGAAGGAGGAGAGTGAATTCGAGGGCCCCTTTGACAAGAGCCTGGAGCTGATGCAGGTACGACTCAGCGCATTCCTTTCTTCGGTCTGCCTTGTGACCGTCTCTTTCGGCGAGCAGGAGGCGCTCGATCAGGCTGGTTACGGAGAGGCAAAGAACGATGTGCAGTCGCTGCAGAAGCACCTGTCGTCTCTGCTCATGGGCGAGTTCGACAAGAACCGCAAGGACATCATGAAGAGGCTGGAGATAGCCATCCGGCAGCACTACGTTCCTGAGAGCTACATCCTCTCTCTCTCGCTGGCTGACGACGAACAGGTTTGTTATGGCCATCTGACGTTGAAGGGTCACCTGCGGCTCCCTCGGATCTGACTGACTGAGACAGGTAGAGAAGGCGTATGCCATCGCCAAGGACGGGGCGCAGTATCAGACTGTCCTCGGGGTGACCAACAAGGATGCTAGCCTGACATCTCGCGCAAACTGAAGAGAATCGAAAGAACATTTGCTTCTTCGTATGACGTTATATGGTCTCATGGCCCCGGGATTCAGTGTGCAAAGTTCCTTCAGTAAAACTTCATGTGTCGGACGGATGCTGATCGGACCGTCCCGGTCGGACGGCGACGGCCCGGGCCGGCTCGCCGGCGGCTGAGACTCAGGGGCCGCTGAGGCCCGGGGGGGCGGGGCGCGCAGCGGAGGCTCCGAGTGCATCATGGCACCGGCGTCCGTGGCGCTCACCTGAGGCCGTCTGAAGGCTCAGTCACAGCCCCGCGGCAGAGTCCTGGCAGTCACTGAGTGGTCAGTGATCAGTACGCGGCACGACTCAATCCGATCGGATCTTCGGAGTCCCCGGGGCCACGCACCCGGCCCGGCCCGGCCCCGCCGCTGTTGCCAGGCCTGCGACAGTGAGTGAGGCCTGTCAGGTGATCACGGTGGGCCCGGTGTCAGCGAAGAGCGAGGACAGGACACACTGACAGGTGTCCTGATGCTAGATATAGGCTTGGCGTTGCCTGATTACACTGTACGGTCTATAAAAACGACCCGCGAAACAGTTGGCGCGCAAAAGTTTGTGGCCCCGCCTGAACTATGCAAGCACAAGCACAATCGGCTTCTGGCCATGCCACCGCTGCTAGCGAGAGCCCATACCTGGTAAGGCAAATTCATGTTATGTGGAAGTGTCCTGAATTGTTTCTTCATGCATGTTTTTACAATACTATGAATCCTTACTTTGTTTTCAGGACCTGGAGGTGGTGACAAAGCACGGGGTAAGTCATCCTCCCAGCTATGATTTTTTGATACCCACTTATCTGTAATGTTGCTAGATTACAAAGACAGATGTCAACAAATTCAAAGATGCGGGATATCATACCGTACATACCTTAATACAATGTTATGTCTGAAAAATTGTAAATCGCATTCTGCTGCCCAGGTTGAATCTGTTCTGTACACCGTCAAGAAGAATCTTCTCCTCATCAAAGGTATCACGGAAGCGAAGATTGACAAAGTTCTCGAAGCAATCCAGAAAGAAAAGGTCAAATCCCATGAATGACTGTTTACGATGCTGACTATGTGTTTTTTCATTTCAGTCTTTTTCATTCAAGACAGGGGTCGAAGCGTTGCATCTTCGAAAGCGAATCAAGAAGATCACAACAGGAACGAGCATGGTTTGAATACTTTTCAATAGTTTGACGTCAATTTAGGAGTCAAGGGTCTTGACGCTTTATTGGGTGGCGGTTTAGAGAGCTCCAGCATCACAGAAATTTATGGTGAGTTTCGGACTGGAAAAACACAATGGGTCCACACCCTTGCCGTGACAGCAATGGTACAAGCAACATGTTCTGTGAAAAAACTCGATCATGATTGATCTCCTTTTCTTAGCTTCCAGCGCAGCATGGTGGCGGGGAAGGTAAAGTGGCCATCATCGATACCGAGGTAGGCTTACAGCGATTCCATGGTTTTGACGCTGACCAATGTTCAAAGGGTGCTTTCCGACCTGGTGAGAATGTTGAACTATAATTTTGCTGTGATCAACACGATGGCCGTAGAAAAAATTGCACCTATTGCTGAAAGGTTCGGTGTCGACTGTGAATCAGTGCTGAACAATTTGCTTATTGCTCGAGCGTACAATACGGACCATCAGATGAATATGATTCGAGATCTAGCAGCAATCATGATGGAGGAAGGGCCATTCGCTATCCTTATAATTGATAGCATGACGGTAAAGATTCCTTTGAGAATTCCGAGTTGTGATGTTGGACTAATCCTTTCACCGCAGTCGCTGTTTCGTGTTGATTATGTAGGTCGAGGAGAGCTATCTGCAAGACAGCAATCGTTGGGTCAAATGCTCAGCAAAATTACAAAGATGGCGGAAGAATTCAACGTAGCGGTCTTGATAACCAATCAAGTGATGAGCAATCCCGACGGAGGAATGACTTTCGTCTCCGATCCCAAAAAGCCAGGTATTGTGCAATGTTTCGCATTCAATGAAACTCACAGCCATGTGTCAGTTGGAGGTCACGTGCTGGCGCATGCCTCTACAACTCGTCTTGAGCTCAAGAAAGGTAGGGGAGATTGCAGAATTTGCAAGGTTGTGGACTCGCCATCGCAACCGGAAGCGGAAGCTTCATATCAAGTATGCAAAAAAAATCAGAATTCCTGCTTTTGATAGCTAATTTTTTGTGAAGATCTCAGATGCTGGAATCATTGACCCAAAGGATTAGGTCAAAGAAAGTGTTTTGAGCAGTTTTCTGGTTTCATTATGGAGTTTTCTAGTTTTGTTTTCAACCTTCTTTAATTTTTACGAAATGAATACAACATCAGTTCGCGCAGAGCATTATGTCGACAGATAATTCTACCCTGATCCCCTTACATTCCTGCTCCCTTGCTCCCTTGCTCCCTTGCTCCCCTCCTCTTCTAGCGAGGCCGCTGGCATGCCGCCAGTGTTTGCTCATTGTGGCATCAAATTGACACATAGATAAAGGCCAGCGAGCACTGACAGCCATGTGCGATTTGACCACGTGGCCGAGTGGTTAAGGCGACAGACTTGAAATCTGTTGGGATCTTCCCGCGTAGGTTCGAACCCTGCCGTGGTCGCATATATGTTTTACAGTTGTATGGTAATTTTTTTTATACGCTTCCCCACAAACTCTCGTTTTGACCGCTTCCCTCATGCTCCACCGCGTCTTCCTCTGCTACTCTGCCCTCAGCTCCTCTCCTGGTCACCTCTCGCCACCTCCCACTCCTCTCCCCCCTCCGTTCCTCACTCCTCTCCCCCCTCCGTTCCTCCCTCCTCTCCTCCCTCTACTCGAGCCCATTCTTTTCATTCCTTTGCAACGTCACTTCCTTGTTGTCGAGTCAAGGCAAAAATGCGGTTTGAATGCGAAGACATCCCAGAAGAAACGTTGATTTTCCACAAAAAGATCGGAGAAGGTGTCAGCGCGACTGTGTGGCTTGCAGAGGACAGGGACACCCATGAACTGTACGCCGTCAAATCTTTCAAGGCAATCCGATCACGTCACAATCAGTTTCGCAAGGAGGTGGGCAACCTCATCTTTCTGAATGCTCGAGACCCTGGAAACAAGTTCGTTCCTAAGCTTTATGGAATCATAAATGAAAAGACCAGGCTGTGCATCGTGATGGAGCTCATTCGCGGAAGGACTGTATCTCAAGAATTGCTCCGCTCTCCGTATGAGAATGCTGGGCTACCCATGACGTCGATAAGGTGAGGAGAGCTCGTAGAATCTGCGAATGAGATTCCACCTTCAGGTCCACGGTAAGGAGCATCCTCGAGACTCTTCGCTTCATGTCCTCAGACAGCATAAGGATGGTGCATTGCGACATCAAACCCGAGAATATCCTGATTGTCAAGGAGAGAGCCAGGGAGAAGGCCGTGCTGATCGATTTCGGTTTGGCGTCTAGAGAGCAGAAGATGCAGGTTAGCCTGCGTGACGAGCCTCCTACTCTGACAGAGCTCAGGAGAACATGTACGTCCAGAGCCGGTGGTACCGCTCACCCGAGGTTCTACTGGGCATTCCCGCGAGCATTCAAGCAGACATGTGGTCGCTAGGATGTTTGCTGGTCGAGATGTTTTGTGGCATCTGCCCGTTCAGGGGAAAAGATTCCCTAGACCAGATGCTGCTCATTGTGGATGCTCTAGGAATGCCGCCCGAGCACATGACTGGAAGGTCTCGTGACGTCTTGCTCGGCTGCAACTGACAGGCCCGGGGGGTTCAGGTGTGATGAAGAGACGACAAAATCGATGAAGGAGGTGGATAACCTCGTTAGCCGATCCAACAGGAAACAAGGAAAAGAAGACATTCACAAGCGCATCACAAGCAGGCTGCTGCAACACAGGTACGTCAAGCACCTCTCTAACGATGCTGTAGAAGGACTATGGCAACTGACTTGTTGGCGGCAACTGACTTGCTGGCATGCAGGGAGAAATGGATTGACGAGACAGAGGAGGAGCGAAAGCTAGTTGCTGATCTTGTATTGAAGGTAAATTCGAGGAGTGTAGCCAACCCATGAAATGTGACTTTGAACGATTTCAACAGATGCTCGTTTGCGACCCTGATGCAAGAATCACACCGGAAGAGGCCCTGAAGCATCCGTTTGTCGCAGGGAAGTCCAGACTGGTTGTCTTGTGAATTTAGCACCTTTGCCACATGGAGACATGAAAGAAATACTTCCACCGGCGATCTTTTGCGCTCAACTCCCGATGATAGGCCAGCATCATTCTAGAGAAATAGCGTACATCGCCCTCCGGATCGAGTCCAAAGTAATCATCTCATCTTCGCTGGCACCACTTGAGATGCACGCCACTGAGTAGAGCTGTAAAGGACTTCAGCGAATGTGAATATATCAAGGTCAATTCAGATCGTCGTACCCTGTCAAACTCGTCCATCGTGTCACAGAAACCTGCACTGATCGCGATGTCGCATAGTTCTCCCTTGGGGTACTTCTTCAGGAAATCTTCCTCGTACACCCCTCTTGTAGCGTAAGGCTGCGGATACAGCAATGCCTGAAAAGATATTCAACCAGGGGGGCGAGGAAACGATCAGTCTTTACCTTTGCTCCAGGTTCGTTGCCGTAGTTCTTGCTGTCAGCCACTGATTGGAACTTGGGGGGCTTGATATCGTTTCGCACATTTGGAACGCCAAAGGTTCTCTCAGAAACGAGAACTTCATCCGGTGCACAACCTCTGTGCCGCTCATCGTGAGTTGGAGGGAAAGAAAGGTCTGACCTCACCTTCTCAATGATCGGCCGAGGTCAGGATCAGGCAGTTGCTCTTCTTCGGTATAGTTTCCCTGAAACGAAAGTCTCAGGGGGGTATACAGACACAAGTTTCTCTTACCTGAATGCATTCTTTTGCTCCCCAGTCATCTGCCCGCTTGTACGATATTCCATAGGTGTAGTCGGGAGGAACCGGGTGTCGCCCGAGACCAAGGTTCTTCACTTTGCCAAGTTCATCTTGTCGAACCTATAGAGTCATCAGCTTTGACTGATTACATCAAAGATTCACCTTCTTGAAATCTGCTACAGACTTTGGCATGAATTCAGTCGGTTGAACCTACATACCAGATTAGAGCAATGACACTTTGGATTTCAGCACACCTTGCTTTCGTACTCCAGGTCAGGATTGATCGCTTTCGCAACACCATCCTTGTAGTCTATCTCAGCTACAGCCCCAAACACATGCGTGACTGGGTCTATTCCAGCCTTTTGCCAATTATATTTTCGACTTTTCTGTTCGCCAGGTTCGTAGGCATAGTGCGAGAGCTTGTACATCTCTTTCTGCTCTTCCGTCACGTTCAGCGAAGGAGCGTCGGAAGGGAGAATGACTTCTATGGCCGTTACTTTCTCCTTTGATCCCTTCACTCCGAAGCGAAATTCCTCGTCCTGTACTATCTGCTTCGGCCACTCATAGTGTCTATTCAATGTTTTCCCAAGTTGCTCCTTCTTGCTGGTTTCATAGATCGTTTCCGCCCGCATCTGTTGGTATGCCTGCATACTCGTCGGCTCCGCATGACTTCCCATCAGTCCATCCACCCCCCGAGACTTCATTCCTGGAGTTCCGTAGGTGAACTCCGAAGGTCGAGGAGGAGGATCATTTTCTAGCCCCCAATGCTGAGTTCGCTTCCCCGGCTGCTTCATGTAGGACTTTCTGAAGCGCCGGATGTGCTCCGGTGTAGGAGGACGTTCTTCTTCCACGAAACAAGCAGCTGCTGTCTCATGGAGCGATCCTCCTTTCTTGCCCGCCTTCAGCCACAAGCATCAGTGCTCTCACAGCAAGCCCACAGGCCTGACTCACCGCAGGTAGAAACGGCGTCGTGTCGACGTGCAGCCCTGACATGCTTGCTGACCTGATGGACAACAAACAATTCAGCTGCGTCACGATGATGCTCTCAACCGCCTCCCGCGATGTTCTACTATCCTCCTTCATCCTCCCTACCTTGCCTACATGTTCTTTTGGCATTCTTATCCCTTCTGTCGCCATTCATATGTCTTTCTAACTTCTCACTCCCTCGGCCTCCTCCTCCGCTTCTCCTCCTGCTCCTGCTCCCCTCCCCCCCTCTCGCACTCAGTGGACATTCCATGCTGTTTCCCGCCTTCCGTTGAACTGACGGGGATGTGGGGGGGATGTGGGCACAGATTGCAATGAGCGGGGATGAGCGGGGAGGAGGGTACAGTCTGGTCAAGAGGAGGCCATGCATGAATACGGTCGCAACCATCCTCCTCCTCTTCAACCACCTCGTCTCCTCCTCTACAACCACCTCGTCTCCTCCTCTACAACCACCTCGTCTCCTCCTTCTCCTCCGCCATTTCGTCCTCGTCCTCGTCCTCGTTCTCGTCCACAATCTCTTCCGCAAGGATCTCCTCCTCTTCTACCAACTCCTCGATCTGTCATCCTTCATTATCATCCTCCGTTGCCATCTCCTCCTTTCATCTTGATGTGTGGCTGAACGTGACGCTGCGCATTATCGCAGGGAAGGTGTTGGTTCTGGTCTTAGCCCTTCTTGCATGCACAGTCGACGCGTTTAGTTTCCCCTCGATAGGAAAAGCAAACCTCCGGATCCCGGGCCGCAAAGCTGCTCTGCCGAAGAACAAGATGGCATTGCAGGCTTCGCCATCGCAGGCTAGCGCTAACAAGGTGCGTGCCCACAGCTCAAGCAGATGTTCATGCTATGCTGATGTCAAGCCTGTAAGAAGGAGAAATCTGCGGTCGTCGTTAAAGGGAGCAAAGCTGGAGAACTAGGAGATGTGGTGCCATCATGGCGGGTAGTTTCTGAGATTTGTTTGACGTGGGCAAGCTATGAGCAGGAGCTTCTCACCCGGATTCATACAGGCGAATGCTGAACTGATCTTGTATATCGTCTTGTGGTACGCAACCTCGGTCACTCCTGTCGAGTCCCTCGTCTCATGATGGAGTGAGAGTTACTCAGGTGGTCTGCACGAACTCGACGAAATCTCTCGGACTACACTGGTAGGATTAAGAGGAGAGACAAGATATCTGGTCGAGTGATGGAGTTGGCAGGGGCCTGTTGACTCTGATTCAGCTGACCATCTCTTCCTTGTGCGGCTTCGTGGTGATTCGGGTGCTGAAAGTCGTTCCTTACCAAGAGATTGAGAACTTTTCTCAACTCAAGGCAAGTTTGCAAAGACTGTCAGCGTTTGACTGATGTGCTTTGCAGTCGACTTCACTTCTCGCTGCGATCTTCGCTGCTGGATTTATCACTCTCAACTCGGAAAGTTTCTGTGAGAACTCAGTGGACCATGACGGTTGAAATCAGGCGCTGGGGATGATGCATGTGTCCCTTGTGATGACGTTGCGAGCAACCGAACCTCTCTTCACCTTGCTCCTTGCCACGATGTTTCTCAAGACAGAGAAGGTTGGCGCTTGTTCTATCTTATCAACTTTCCTGCTTGAACTTCTCATCCTTTCCTCCAGATTACCCTGCCCATGTCCCTCTCCTTGCTTCCTGTGATCGCCGGTGCTGCTCTATCATCTGCCGAAAGCTCAGACTTCAACGTCGCCGGACTAGCGATTGTCGCTATCTGCAATGTCATGTTTGCCTTCCGCGGAATCATCACGAAGAGGATCAAGGCCTCTCATCGTGTGGACAACTTCAACCTCTTCTTCCAGGTCTGCTACCTCGGCATGATCATCCAAGCCGTCCTCCTGCTTGCGGCTGCTCCTTTCTTTGGGATCTCAGGCCTCGACGCCATCAAGTTTTCGGATTCCAAGTACATGACGATGCTGGCGGTGAACGGCGTTACCTTCTACGCCTACCTGCAGCTCTCCTGGCTCGTTCTCAGCAGAGTTGCCGCCGTCACTCACTCTGTCTGCAACTCTTTGCGCAGGCCCGTCATGTGCCTCTTCGGATGGCTGCAATTCGGTGGCATCTCCCTCCTCGCCATGTCGTGCCGTGCTGATCCTTCCGTCAGGCAACGACATCTCTCCTCTCAACGCCGTTGGGATCGCCATGGCTTCATTGGGTACTTTGATTTACTCACAGGTAACGAAGACAAGGGTAAAAACAGTTGAACCCAGTGTGAGCTTGCTGCAGGTCAGGATAAGCGAGGGGAAGAGCGGGGAGTAGCGCTGATGTAACATAATCAAGTGTGTAGTGTTATCTCTATGCTGCCCTTTTTCGTCCTCCAATCTCCTGCCGTGCCCTCGAATGACCCTCAGAGTCGCGTGTCCTTTTACTTATCCCTGCCTCCCCTCTTGAATGAATCCTTGTGATCAGATCGCCCATGGCTGGGCAAAACTCTGAGGTTGATCAACTGCATTTCATCGCCATGTCGGGGTTGTGGCCTATGCCGGATGGTTTGTTGCCTCAAGTCATTCCATCCAATACTCCGAGGCAATTCCAGCCACGCAGCACACAAGATGAGAACAACTCTGAGAGCCCAAATCTGCTGTTCTGTTCCCCTGGCTGTCGAAGCTCAACATCCTGGTTTGTGCTTGCATCCTCCTCTCTCTTCGCCTCGCCTCTCCTCGCTCCCATCCAGCATTGGCGTGCAAGACACGAACATCGGGTCGGATCTTGTCGCAGGTTGAGTGATACGAAATGATATTTTTCACATTTCAATGAAACTTTGAAATTTTAGAGTTTTATTTCAGTTGCACCCTCAAATTATATATCTACATTATAGCAAGCACCCCAACAACCCTCCGATCGTCAGTTCCGACCACCCCCTGAGTAAATTTAGTACCCCCTAAATGAACGTTTCACTCCTTTATGGGCTTATTGTCACCACCTTACCCCTATCTCCTTGTGCTCTTCAGGGTAAAACTCAACCCATGTGTTGAGACCATTCCAGGAATGTGTACCCCCTGACCCCTCACCCCCCTGAATTTCAAACCTACCCCCTGGTTTCTAGGGGTTTTACCACCCCCTGCGAAACAATTCTCCTTGTTCGGCCTCATGGCGGCAATGGGGATGCGGGAACGGCTCTCGTCCTTCTCCTCCTCAGCGCCTTCTACACCCTCGACCTCTGAGATGCTCCTACAACTGTTTCTGTTCGACCTGCATGCCTGATCGCTCATACTTGAACTAACTCTCCGACTCCTGAACCATAGAACTACCCTCACAGTGCCATGTGCAGGAAAAAATGACTCCATTCTCATGCACATAAAGGGATGATCCCAGTGCTGTTCGAATCCACTGGGGACAGAAACAATCATGTTAACAATCATTCCAACACCTTCTTGTCTTTATTCATGAACTTTCTTTGCTGTCAAGGAGCTCGTTAGTCGTAGAGGTTGCTATAGTGATATCGGTTGATTGTTTCTATGACGTGACCAGGCAGTGCTTTCCTGTTCACCGCTAGATAGGGCAATCATTGTTCTATGATGTGGAAATCAAGACGGAAGCTCTGTTGTGCCTGACTCTGTGCCTCAGGTTTCGTTCTGCTCGTTCGCTGCCGGGACATCGATCATGATCCATCTGGGCAACTCTCTTCCCCCTTTGACGTATCCGTCTCAGGCTGCGAGCATCGGCTCTCTCACCTCCTACCATGTGGAGAGACAGCACTGGTTCTGGGATGAGATGGAGAAGATCTGCGTGCAAACGAGCTCCGAGCAGAGGGGAGAGGGGAGGAGCGACACAGGGCTCCCCCAGTCCCTTGACAAGCTCCTCCATGTCATGACAGCGACCATCAAGAACAAGAGCGTCTTCGTCAACGCAAGCGACTCATCGCTATCACCTCTTGTTCAACCCAGCGCAACCGCCGAGCTGAGCGAACTCAGCGCTTCGCATCGTCGATTCGACTCGGAGGCCTCTGAAGACAACCAGAAGCCCTCGGATGGCCAGGAGTCGCCACGAACCCAGTCCCCCATGTCGTCGTCGACGGAGGATGCAAGCTCTGATGTCGTCAACACCATCTTCCCTCGTCGTAAGGCTGGTCAGGACCGCAGGAATGGTGAGCCCGTCGTCCTGAGAGAGAGTACTCTCAGGGAGCACTTCAGCCTCCCGCTCAAAGAAGCAGCTGGGAGGCTCGGGATTTCCCCCACGGCCATGAAGTCGGCCTGCAGACGGCTGGGCATCAAGAAGTGGCCCTACCGTACGGACTCGCAGTGCCAGAACCTTCCCCTTCCTCAAGTCATCCAGCACCTGGTGAAGGAGAACAAGGTGCTGACGTGGGATGCTGTTAACGCATGCTATCTTGTTCTGGATGGAGAGCGGTTTAAAGGTCAGTTGCTGGCAGGCTGCAATGTGACGAGCTGATTCCTTGCGGCAGAGAGGTTCAATCAACTGAGGGAGATACGTCAGAAGCACAAGGACGGAGCCCTCGAGAGGCCCTTCAGTAGGATGCATAACTTCTTCGTGCTCGATCGGGGGGAGAAGTGGGCGAATACAGGCACCACCTTCCGCCCGAAGCATCCTCGCTACGCTCCTGAGGTTATTCGCCGTCAGCTGCTTGTGGATCGCTGAGTTCACCACAGGGAATCTACTTGACCAGCAGAGACACAGCAGCGGATGCTTCGAGACATGAGCATGGATTGCAAGCGCAGAGGGAGGTACCTTCTCCCTTAGCAGTGCTTGCAGCAGCTGCTGTTGAGGAGGGGGGCAGTGGCAGCTTGGTCAAGTGACCAAGCTCGACTGCATCATGCTATCATCTTCTGAGGAATTGTTTTAAAGAACTAAGCATAAGTCAACTTCTTCTGGGAAGCTTCGGGCATCTCAATCGCCATTTCTTTCTTTTCCTTCTTTCGTTTCGCTTTCAGTGCTTTCGCTTCTTCCAGCTGCTTGGCTTCGGCTTCCTCCAACCTGCGCTCTTCAGCTTCTGCCTCCCTGACATCTTCTGATGAGATTTCGTGGAAGACCATGGGTCCGGTGTCCTGTGCCGACTGTGCTGCAAGGATCATTCCTCCACCTGACCCATCCCCTTGCGTCGTGAGCGCCTGTTGGCCAATCACCAGTTGCTTCTCCGACGTTTGCTGGTTCATCATCATCCGGTTATAGGCGGCAACTTTCCAAGTGTTGCCGGTGGTGATGTAAGCGTTCCAAACCTGAAGAAACGAGTCAGGTGGAAGAGAGCAGAACCGCCGAGGTGCCTCCACCTTCTCAGGGTCGTCAAGGTCAGTCTCTCCCTCGTTCATCTCGTCCACTTCCTTCCAGAACGTGGGGTGTTCCTCCCGCCAGTCAGGCAGCACCAGGCCTCTGTTTTCGTCTCTCTTCTGCCGCAGCTCCTCGAGCTCGCGCTCGATCGAGTCGCTGTAATCCTCCAGCGTCTGGTACTTCTCTTCGCGCTTCCTGTCCGCCTCCTCCTTCACTTTCATGCTTCTTACCCGCACGTTGTGCTCGACGGTGTCAACCAGGTTGGCCTTCTTTTGTCGGCGCTCAGCGTCTTTCTTCTCGAGCTGCTTCAAACGTGATTTGTCATCGGCTTTTTGCAGCGCTCGCAGGGCCGCTGGGTTCAGGTAAGCTTTCTGAGAGTTCTTCCCGCGATTCTTCTTGATGGATCGCTGTCGGATGCGGCGGTGATGTACAGATTGCTCCTTCCAACTCCGCGGCTTCGTGGGTTTCGTCTTTGCTCCCCCCCTGAGGTGAGCCAACAGGTGTCCTCGCAACAACGAGTTTCTCGACTTCTCCGTGCTCTCGATCCAGGGGTTTCCCCTGAGGTCCAGCATCTGATTATGTTGACCAGTGTAGGTAGTCACGAGCAGAAGAGAGCTCAATGAAACCATCAGCTGCAAGATCCGGTTGGCTCCCATTCTATATCCCCCACCATCCATCACGCCTGATTGAATCAGCTCACGGTATCTCTTCAGCTGGTCAGGCTTTGTGCCATAAATTCCTGTTCGAGGTAAGACCTTTGTAATCTCCAGAGGAGGGGGTTACCAACAAGGTCCCGAGGGTTCTCAGTAACATGCTTGCGCAAATTTACATCCACCCTGAAACATATAGTCATGACGTCTTCATTGCTCCTAGTTCCTGTTCCTGATTTTTGCCATAGCACCGTGCACCATGATTGAAAATCATCTACCTTTCCTTCTCTTCTCTCTTCGCCTTGACCCGTCTCTCCCTCTCAACCCTTTCTACTCCTCCCCGCCTCCCCTCTTCCGTCATCTCCTCACTCGTTGTATCTTTCTCGCCTCTCTCCATCTCTCCTCCTCCCCTTGACTCCATCTACCGGCTTCTGTCCTTCCTCTTCCTCTCTCTTCGATCCCCCCCCCCCCATCTTCCAGCATTCATGAGTAAAGAATTCATGCATGTAGATCCTCACTAGATCCGTCCCACCATGGGCACCCTCATCCCCGCTCTTTTTTTTTTCGGTCGGACTATCCCGGGCCGCGGTGAACCTCTCGTCCGACCGTGAGTCCGACCGGCCCGGCCGGGTTCCGAACTTTCAGTGCCGGCCCGGGCTCAGGCACTTGTCATAGTAACTTAGTAAGTCAGCACGAGGTGATCGATCGGATTGTGATGCAAGAAGAAGTTTTACTTGAGTTTACATGTCCGTTAGAAGCTTGAAACATCATGAGGGTCACAAGATGAGCGGGTGAAGCTGCGAGGCTTCTGGCCCGCTGAAAAGGGGGAGGAGGAGAAGTGCCTGATGAACGTGTGAGGGGCAACGGAGGAAGGAGCAGCAGCGATCACCAGGACGGCCATGAAGATGGGGAGGAAGAGTCTCCTGCTCGTGAACAGCTGCGAATGTGGCGAGGGAGTGACCGTAAGGAGCTGCAGCAGGATGAGGAGAGGAAAGGAGCAGCCGCGATGATTCACCTGCTCCTGCTCGTCGAAGAGCTGCTTCTTGGCCGATGGAGGCGATGGGGGAGCCTCCTTCCTCCTCTTCCTTGGCGAGAACCAGACCTCACCCTGACAAGGTTCAAGGTCAGATGAGGGAGGGAAAGAAGGAAGGAAGGGGGAGGGAAGGGGGAGGTTACAGGAGGTTACCAGTGGGGTGTCGCATAGGAGCGAGTCTTCGTTGATGTCTTCTCCCTTCTCAGCGAGCTCCTGCGCAAATCCCGCTGTCAGGGTGACAAGAAAGGAGAGGAGAGGAGAGGAGAGGAGAGTAGGAAGAAGATGGGGAGAGGAGGAGGGGGAGGTGCTCCTGTACCTCCTGAAGGAACTCGATCCTCTTGGTAAGCACATCGTAGGCCTCCGAGTGCAACTTCTCCATCTCCTCCATCTTCTGGCTGCTCAGCATGAACGCCTCTCTCTTCAGCTCGTGCAGCCGGAGCTCGCTGCTCTCCTGCAGCGCCTGACACCTTTGGCTGGTGGAGCTCAGCTCCGCCTGCAGCTCCTCGTTGCGGCCGCGCAGGTACTCGAGCTCATCCTCCAGGGTCTTCACCTCCGAGCTCTTGCCCACGTTGTCCTGCAGCTCTGCCTCCCTCCTCTTCGCCTCCTCCATCTCTTCTCCAATCGCCTTGTACCGCTGCAGGATAGCGTCCAGCTTCTCTCGGATACCATCGTAAATGCAGCCCTGCTCCTGCAGCACCTCCTCCACGATCAGGTCGAACGCCTGCTCCTTCGACTCCTCCCCGCCTCCCTCCTCAGGCTTCTCCTCCAACTTCCTGCCCTCCTCCTGCACGGCCACCATGTGCTGATGCAGCTCCGCCTGAATCTCCTCCGCATCCTCCTTGAGGGCCTTCACTTCCGAGAGCGCAAGCGCTCGCTCCTGCCACTCGCTCTCAGCCTCTCCCTTCCCCCCCTCGGATGCGCAAGTCACCTGCTCGCTCTTCTGCTGCATCTTGTCTCGCTCGCCCTTGAGCTCCTCCAGCTCCCTCAGCAGCGCGTCGAGGTGGGGGACCATCGTCTGCTGCTCCGTCTTCATCTCCTCCAGCTCTTCAAGGACCTGCGGGAGAAGGAGGAGGGAGCGCATCAGTGGGAGGGTAGCAGCAGCAGCAGCGGGGAGAGGCAGAGGACCAGACGGCAGTGTCACCTCGTCCAGGCGCTCACGAGGAACCATCTTCTTCTGCTTCTCCTGGAGCTCTTGGACTCCTGCAGTGAGTCGCGTGTGGGCCTGAGCCATCTGCTCCGTGAACTGGTTCAGCTCCTTGTTCTCTGCCTGCCCTGCCGTCAGGCCTGCTGACATCCCCCGATCCTCTTCACCTCCAGCTCCTCGATCCTCTTCATTGCCGCTTGCTCGCGCACCCAGCACGAGTCGGCGGTACGTCGAAGAGCCTCAGCCTCCGACCGAGCAGCATCAAGCTCCTGCATCTCCAGGGTGAGCTGGATTATCAGCTGGGGAAGAGCAGCCTGCACCTGCCGCAGCTTGACAACGAGGAAGAGGTTCTGCCCGAGCTCCTTGTCTTCTGAGCTCTCCTCGTCCTCCGACACGGTCGTCAAGATGTCGATGCTGTGGCGGGAGACTTTGGAATCCTTGAGCCCAGTCTGGTTGAGGTATTCCAATACTTGTTTCGTCTCCACGTGAGAGCAGAGGAGCTGAAAGAGCTGCTCGTGCTGAGCGAGCATCTTTCTCAGCTTGTTCAGCGTCCTCTTGTCACTCGCCGTCTCCCGCGCCGACGGCATGTTGGACTCGAGGTCTGCCACGTCCTCGGAGAGCTGCACGAGAGCTGAGAGAATGCCCTCCAGCTCACTTTGAATCGAGCTTCGCAGGATCTTCTCTTGCTTGAGGTCTTGTTGGAGCTGGGCTACCAGTTCTCCCTCCTGCATCAGGGCGTCCACCATCGCCTTGCTTGCATTGAGGACCGGGGGAAGGGAGTCGGACCCATCGAAAGAGGCACGATACTGGTCGATGACGTCCTTGTTCTTGCTGAGGAGGATGGATCTCCTCTTCGGGGTCTTCCTCGGAGTATCTTCTGGCGACCAGGGAAAGAAAGGCTCGATGCCCGATGACGTCATCGATGAAGCTTCGAAGAGCTCTCGTCGTGTCTCCCGGGTCGGGGAGCGGTTCTCGCTCAGGACCTCTTTCAGCTCTGCGTCCTCGGTCGACGCATGAGCTGAGTTGGAAATCTGTAGCAAACTGAGAACGAGTAGCTCTGGTGACAAGGAGGAGCTCACGTTGGACAGCACTCGTCTCGGAGAGAGGACGCCCTTGTCCGTACCATCCTGTTCACCCGGGTCATTCTGGTATCCGGGAGAGCACACCTTACATCAGCAGTGACCTTGTTCTTACGGTTGGGGGACTGAGCTCCCTCGATCACAGTCTCGTTGGTTCGTAACTGCCAAGAGTGTGTCACAAGTTGTCGATCAGCTGCAGCCGTCGAGGTCGCCCAGCAGTGCCTGCAAAGTGAGCGCAATGCGCTCAGCTTTGCCGACAGCTGCGGACTCGACTGAAAGACAAGTCAGGGACCCACAGGGTTAATCTTCTTCCGTGTGGGAGAGCGCAAGGGGGATGAAGGCTGAACGGCAGTCAGAAGTCACAAAAGAAACTCTCGCAGAGGTTGCGCTGGCCTCCCCGTTAGCTCTTTCACTTACATTACGCAGGGGAGATCGCAGCTGCGATGACCAAGAATTCATCCTTGTTCACACAGTCACCTAGAAAATCTGTAGCAGCACGTCACATCAAGGTTAGAGAAGGGCTTCATTGCTTTAAGTACGGTAGTAGGAAGTAAAGGGAACGAGGGGAGACGAAAAACGGAGAGGACGAGAGGAAAGACGAGGCGAGTGGGGAGGGGTGGGGAGCGGAGCAGAGCAGCAGGAGGCTGTCTTGTTTGATCTACATCAGTGTGTCAACACGTCGACAGCTCCCCTGCCCATCCTCTCCCCTCCTCAGGGCATGACAGTTCAAAAACAGCATGCTGCAAAGGCTACACGCTTTTTCAAAAAACGGGAAAGCAGCGTTGGAACGAATTAATCTGATTCAAATCATCAGCCGGCCCCCCCGGATCCCGCGGACCCGGGCCGTGGACCCGGTGGCACTGGCACTGACAATGGCAGGCTGGTGAGTGGGGGCCGCCGGGTCTCGCGGGGAAGGTGGGGGGTAGGGGTCTATAACGTAACAAAGACAGTGCTGTAAAACGATTTTTAAAAGTGTTTGTATGAAGTTTGTGAGGTACTTCTTCATAAGTACTTTTATAAGGTGTTGAATCCAGGCTGGGGTCCTCCTAGTAAGCTCTAGTACCAATATCTATCTTTTAAAAATGTTTTGTTTGAATGAGCGGGTACAGATACAAAGTAAAAATATTAAAAGATATTTCCAACTCTAAACAAAAATATTCTAAAATTAAAACGTTTTTGCTTCGCCATGGCGGGTGTTGGGAGCTAAAGGGGAGGAGTGGAGCAGAGGAGGAGGTCGGAGTCAGTGGAGAAGAACCGTGAAGCAGGAGGAGACATGAGCATCACCGCTGAAAGACTCTCAAAGGTGGGCAAGACTGAAAGACAGAGAGACAGCAGGTCGACGACCTTTGAAGAGTTCGAAGGGAAGGTTTAAAGTACGAGGGTTGCAAGAGAAGAGGGGGGGAGAGAAAGACTTTTTTCACATCACAGTTTCCTTCTGTATTGCGGGAAAAGGCTCACTGAGATCCTTCAGTCTCTCCATGTTGTTGCTGGAACAGCTATCAAACAGAGACCTCCGCCGCTATTACACGAATGAGTGATGGCACTGCGGTTGATAGGCAGCTGCGAGTAAATCAGCTTACAATCAGGATGAGCTCTGCTGATTCCAACAGAAACAAGCGTCATCCCAGCAGAATTCAAATTCCAAATCGCTTCATGAGTCATCTGCTCGCGCTCCCCGCATGGACCTGTATCTTCTTGTCTATTATCTTATGTTTTGGGTGCAGCAAGACGGCTCAGGGCATCCAGATGGCGTCTTCGATGTCTTCTTCTTCACTGCGCATGTACAGGCCAAAGGCCCTGTCCATGTCTAAGGGGTTGCACAGAGAGAAGGCGATGCGAAGCATGTCCGAGAACTTCTCCCCTTGCACGTCTACAGACAAGGAGGAGGAGGAGGAGGAGGAGAGGTTCTCGAATGAGATCTTGGGGATCATTCACGACGTCATACCCAACTCCCCATCAGCCAACGCTGGGCTGGTCTCGGGAGAGAAGCTCATCTCCATAGGGCGAGTGGACTTCAGCGTCATCGAGAAGCAGGGCAACACAGCACTGGTGGAGGAGATCAACCAGCACGAGAATAAGCCGCTCGTCATGGTTGTCTTGGGCTCCAACGGGTACCTGCGCTACGTCAAGGTGGTTCCCTCCCGCTGGGAAGGAGAAGGTTTGCTAGGCTGCACTCTCGTCATGACGCTGGAGCGGCGCAGCCGCTCGCTCACGCCGGGCCGGGGTAGCGAGAAAGCGCAGGCAGAGGAGCTGGAGGAGGGAGAGGTGAAGGTGAAGAGAGAAAAGTCTTACCCCTCGAACATGGTATCAGAAGGCGATCAACCATGTCCGACAGAAGCAGCAAGGACAGAGGCTGCTAGGACGGAACCTGCGAGGACGGAACCTGCGAGGACGGAACCTGCGAGGACGGAAGCAGCGCGGCGGCTCTCAGTCCCCGTCCTCTCCCAGGCGATTCAGATCTTGAAGGTCGTTGCGATCCCCGTCGGGTTCGTCGGCCGCGCTGCCTGCAAGGTCTCGCTACTGCCCGTGAGGCTGCAGTACGCGGTGATCGATCCTTTCCTCGCCCTCCAGGTGAGTCAGTCATGAGACGTTGCGTCTCCTGCTGATGACTCGGCAGATGGAGGTCATGTACACCTCGCTCGACGTGACGTCCAGCGTTCTGGGTTTCGCTCTTCTCTTCTCCTTCACTGCCGCGCGTCTCTTTCTCGTCTCCTCTGATCATGCGCTCACCTGGACCATGTCGTCTGCACTGAAGCTCAATCCCTTCCTTCTCCTGAGGTGACCCGAGGCTCCTGCTCCCTCTGCTTTTCAATTCCCTCCCTCTGACATGTTTGCCCGTCGTCCCAGGTCATTGCTCGTCACTTTTGCCCGGAACCTTGCGCTGCCTCTCCTTCACGGCTTCAGGAACTTACGATCGCTGCTTGCCTGGACCTCCACCATCTTCTTTCCGAAGCCTTTCCTGTTCCAATCGTGGTGAACTCTCGGCCTCTCAGCCGCCGTTGACCCTACCGCAGGTTCTACAAGCTGCTGTCCACCATCGCCTCCAAGACGATCGGCAAGGGGAGCGTGACGTCAGCAGCTCTCGTCTCTCAACGTACTTCCCTCAACTCCGTGCTTGCTTTATTGACTTTGCCCGCAGTCGCACGAGTGGGTAGGAGGACGATGCGTTGGCCGTTCGAGCTGGCGGTGGAACTAGTGAAGGACGGGAAGAGGAGGCTGGAGGAGAAGATGATGAAGCATGAGTTCCTTCAAGTGGACTTGTACGCCGTCACTCACAACTTCGAGGTCGACGAGTCTCAATGGGAGCTCTTCGTCTGCGAGTTCTACGGTAATGACAAGAACCGAAAGCGAAGAGAGAGGAAGATGAAGCTCGCGCGGAGAAACAACACCATCGCCATGGCGACGAGGGGAGAGGGAGTCCTTGCACTCCGAGGATCGACCTTGTGGACATCATCATTCAAGCAGAAGTCTGGTATCTTCTCCTCCTTTTAACTGCTGCTTCATCTCTTCCTCCTTTGCCCCTCCTCTCCTCGCGTTCGGCGTTGACCCTCACCCTCTCCTAGATGTGGGACAAGTGTGGTACAAGTACTTCCTGCAGCGAAAAGGCTGGAGGAGGAAGACGCGGGTGTGGGAGAGCGGCTGTTTCCGCCGGTTCGACACTTCGCTGGGGTACAACAAGATGATCATCGAGGACGTGTTCAAACTCTCGCTGCATCCTCTGAGCGAGCGGATCCCCCGGCAGTACCTTGACGAGGACGTGGAAGTTGACAGGCAGGTCAAAGTTCCCTTCTGGTCCGACGAGGGCGATGTGAACCTCCTCCTCGTCCTCGACACGGGAGTCAAGAAAACTTCTCCAGTCCGTCGCTTCTGCGGCAACCTCCTGCAGGTTCCCATGGGATGCCTCAGCTCCGTCAGCGAGCAGATCGCGGCAGCTCGGAGGAACTTGCTGGACTTTGTCACGAGGCAGGAGCTGGAAATCAACTGGATGACGACCCCGGACATGCCCCCGCACTGCCATCCCAAGGAGGTAAGCCCGCCTCCCTCTGGAGCTCTTGAGTGAGAGCAAGTCTAGGTGGTGCTGGTGGACTCCTACAACCAGTGGAGCAAGAAGACTGTGATGAACCGCCTCGCCTACGGCATCAACGAGTTCAGGACCACCCTCAAGCTCCCGGCTGGACAGCATCAGGTGCGCGTGCTGCTCGCCTGCCTCCGGGTGGGGAGAAGGGAGCATGACTTGTACGGCTGCAGCTCGCTTTCTATGTCGACGGCGAGCGGTTGTGCTCCCCGAACTATCCGCTGATAGAGGTGGAGGGCAGCGAGGACTACAACAACATTATCTCCATCAGGTGAGGTGAAGTACCTCGACTCTCTTGTCACGCCTTGAGCCTCAGGCACTCTCCAACTATCCTCAGAAAGCTCTCGCTGCTCTTGCTGGGAATTTTTAACCCGAGGAACCTTCTGTCGTTTCAGTTCCTCGTGGTTAACGCGGTGATGAAGCTCGACTTGTTGACTGTCGACGACATCATGCTGTTGTCAAAGAACCCAACCCTGTCTTACAACGCGGCCAGGTACCACAGGAGGAGGAGCGAGAGCAGCGATAACGATCATGCAGGGAGCACCTTGTGCGGAATTTCCTTCGGCAGTCCAAGGAGTACATCATGTACGTCATAGAGATGCCAATGAAGGCGGCGAGGAGCATCCGGCGCATCCTCAGCCTCTTAGACTCAGGTGCGCGAGCTGTTGGCTGAGGGAGGACGAGTAAGCTGACGAGCCAGCAGGTGAGGAACAAATTTGTTGCGACCAAGACACGTTGCAGCGATTGAATAAGCTGGAGGAGGTCGACGCGTTGCACAGCCAGCTGCAGGAGAGGAGGACGATGGCGATGCTGGCTACGAGAGCTGTGCAACTGGAGACTGTCTGTCTAGCCATGAGCGTTTGAAGCTTCATAAAGTCCGTGACTAAATCCGAATGTTTCTGCCCGAGCGCGACATGCCCGGGAAAGAGAAGCGAGCGCCAGAAGTCAAGACCTCGCGAACCAACGAGACGTCGAAGAACTGCCCAGTAGTCTAACAGAGTGTGAGGAGACTCGAGCATCGAAAAGAAGCTCCAGGGAGGGGGGGTACTGGGGAATGTGGTCGAGCAGTTGTAAGGCATGGCGACCAAGACCAGGACCAGGAGGAGAGAAGGGAGTGCAAGAGGGGCAAGGGGGAAGGAGGGACGAGTCACCTCGTCTAGTAGGCTGAGATTCAATGTCGTTCCCTCGACCCCCAACATTTTTCTGACGGCCTGAGAGACGCAACCAGTCAACCTCAACTCGCGAGCAAGGAGAATGACGTGCCTCGTCTTCTGTCAGGTCTGCGACGGGCGTCCCATCGATGACATTCTGCGCCCTCCACGTCATGCACAACATAAGAGCGGGGGACGCGAGTACCACGAGCATGCCTGTCTTGATCACCCCGCACCTCCTTGCCGGCCCTGTACCATGAAGTCAATCAGGCGACAAACAAGAGACTCGGTCACCATCTGCTGCAATCGCAACCACTCGCATTCCGCCATGGCTAGGGAACAAGTTAATCTTCGAATGACACAACGAGACATCCAAGTTTGCATACTCGTTGTTGCGTTTCTGAAGGATCAAGCCGACGGAACCTCTGTTGGGTTGCAGAGTGTTGAAATCCATCTTGCTGGTGGAGACGCTAGGAGGAGTGAACTTGGTCTCTCCTGCTCTCCCTCCACACCCGCATGACATTAAGTCGTTCCACCACGACCAGAAGTCAAGCGGTTCCTTGCTATCTTTGATCGCTTCCATCGCCTCAACTGCGTCACACCTTCTTGTGCTCTCGCTTTGTGACAACGCCGAGACTTTGACTTTGATGACCTATGATCCGAAACCTTGTAAAGTGGGCACCAGTGATTTACTTGCTCCTACAAACAATAAGTCATCCTTGTGAAATATTTACTCTGTTAGAATTGCGTGAAGCTTTTTCATTTCTTGTCCATTTGTTTTTATCATTGTTTCTCTCTCCTTCTTCTCTCTTGATTCGCTACAACAAAACCAACAGCGATATCCAACGTGCTTTTATTTTGGTGAGGTATTGTCACCTACAACCCAGAGGTCTAAACGCTGGCACTTGGTTGTTTGCTGCAACCTTCCTTCCTTCTTCTTCTCATCACTGCGTGTGCTACTCCTTCTCTCCTGCTACCATGGCATCAAACACCGCTACCTCCTCCTGCCCCCCGGCATCCCCCGCGGCTCCGACATGACGACAAGGTTCAGCACCAAATCACCACCCCTCAAGCTTCCTTTAGGAATGGGGGTGGTTGAAACTCAGACCGGTAGTGACATGATTGTGGAGTATCTAGAAACAAGTAGGGGTGGTATATCTGCTTCGCGAGGGGGTATGCCGGCTACCACTTGGGGTGCTTATGGTCATATCAGTGACGGGTAGTGACTCGACCACACCGGTGATAAAGACTGATCGAGAAGGGGTACTCCCACTTCAAATTCAATGTCAGCGGCGGGGGTACTACGGTATTCGCAACAGGTCAGGTAGGCTTTAGCCTCAGTCATGGGGGTGGTAGCCGGAATGGGGGGTGGGGGTAGTGGGGTCACGGGTGCTGCGGCATTACAAGTAGTGCGGCCAGAACTGCGAATGTCGGGTCGCCAAAAACATCCGAGTTGTACCCCCAGGATTCCGCAGGAGTATCAGGGGGTAAAGGGGGTAGGGTGGCTCAGCCTCAGCGGCCCAAAATGGCCTGAGCTCAAGTCGAATCCTGAACGGCCTAACCTCAGGGGGGTGGGGGTCCGGTCCGAGAATTCTCCGGGAGTCGGTGGTACCTGACCGAGGAGTGGGGGTGGGGCGGGGGGGTGGGTATGGTATCAGTGCCTTGAAGGGTACCGTGCTACGGAGCCATCGTCACAGTGCGGCATGCCATGATGAATGCCGCCAGGATCGGATCAAGTTGGAGGGCGGGGGGTGGGGTGGGGTGGGGTGGGGTGGGTTCCAAAGCCTGAGCTCGTGGGGTAGTAGCATGCAGATATCATGATGAGTCCCGGAACTTCGGAAGTCTCAAGGGAACCTGAGGGGATGAGGGCCACATCCGGCCCTGGGCTTTCACTGACTGAAGTTATCTGGCCCCCGCCGGCGGCGGACCGGCGTCGGGCCCGGTTGGGACGGTGGGCACGGGGCCCCCGGGACTGAGGCTTTATGAGTCAGAACTGCCATGGGGGTAGCGGCGGCGATGGCGATGGCTATGGCTCAGTCGCTGTCAGGAGCATCGAAGAACTCAGCCTTCATTTCCATGTCCTTCATGCTCAAGTCACCCTCCTGCCTCAGCTCCATTCGCCGGAGCGGCGTTCCTCCCAGGTTTGACTTGGCCTGTACATGTTGGGCGCCACTGACGCATGCGCTGCAGGACTATCGGCAGCACTCGGAGCTCCTCGACTTTCCGAGCACTGAGAGGGGGCATAGTTGGCACGGCTATGTCCACGTCTGCTGCCCCGTCAGAGGCGCACCTGCCATGGTCGCAGCTGCCTTACATGGGAGCGTTGGTCGATTTCCGTGAAGGCTCCTTGCGAGACTTGTGCCTGTCCCAGGAGCAGTTTGCCCTTCGACTGAGGTCAACCGTGAGCCATCTCAAGTCAGAGCAGATGAAGTCATGCTGGCTCCAGTTGCCCATCGCCCTGTCGAGCTTTGCTGCTGTCGCAAACACGAACGAGGGCTTCACCTTCCACCATGCCAAGGACGACTATGTGGTGCTGAAGCTGTGGCTGAGAGAGGGGGAGGAGGACAAGGTGCCAGACTTTGCCACCCATCAGGTGGGCTGTGCAGGTTTTGTTCTCAATGATAAGGGGGAGCTGCTGGTCGTGAAAGAGTACACGGGGAACAGAACTCGGACCAGCTCGCCGGTCTGGAAGCTTCCGGGAGGCATGCTAGACCTCGGAGAGTCCTTCGAAGAAGGAGCATGCAGGGAAGTGTTCGAGGAGACAGGGATAGCTTGCGACTTTGCCTCCGTCCTCTGCTTCTGGAACCGACATGGTCTCACATGGGGCAAGTCCGACCTCTACGTCGTGTGCAGGCTGGTGCCGAAGACGCTGGAGATCTCAGCGGACGAGGAGGAGATCAGTGATTGCCGCTGGATGCCCCTCAGTGAGTTCGTCGCTACTCAGCAGCATCCGCTCATCCTCCGCATCTGCGACGTTCTCTACGGCCTCCGCAAGGAGAGCCCCATGCCCGTCCAACACGTCGAGCCAGCAGTGGAGATGGTGAAGTACGAGGTGAAGTTTCCTGGGCGAGACGGTTATGCGACCTACTTCGGGGTGACGAGGGAGGGGGATCGAGCGCGGTGAGAGAGAGGGGAGGGGGATGAGATAGGGAGAGGGAGGGAGGGAGAGAGAGAGAGAGGGAGAGAGGGAGGAGCGAATGAGGGCGATGGTGTGCATGTTTGTTTCATAATTGTTTGTAACTACCTAGTTGAGTCTCATGCTACAAAACTTCCCGTTGTCAGAGGTGTGAGGCGGGTGGTGATGAGATCAGTGAGACCTTCTATCTTGCGATGAATGTCGTCAAGCGAACTCCTGTAATGCTCGTCGTTCTTGGACATCTGATCCTGCAGAGCAGCGAGTTCCTCTCGCACCGAGAGGTTCACATAGGAAGACGATCGCAAGAATTGTGGTTCGGCGCTGTCTGCGAGATTCTCTGACGATCTCTGTTTCTGATGAGATCAGATGTCAACAAGCACCTTGATGGGGGAGACGACAGGAGAGAGATGAAGCGGTAGGAGGGAGTGTGAGGACGTGAGGGGAGGAAGAAAGTAAGGCAGGCAGGCAGGCAGGCAGGCAGGCAGGCAGGCAGGCAGGCAGGGGGGGCGAACCTCTTTTGTGTCGACGAGGAAGTTGTTGAAGGAGGACTCGGCCATGACCATGAGGATCTTGACGGTGGTCAGGAGGATCTCAGTCTCCTTCTCGCTATCGAACATCATCGCTGTGCTCGCAATCTTCTTCAGCCAGTGCGACTTGAGCTCCTTCCAGAGCTGCTGGCGGAACTGCTCGGGCGACAGCTCGGCCAGACCCCCGGAGAAGGTGATGAAGTCGTCCTCAGAGAGGCGGTTGCTGTGCGGGAAGAGGCGGTGAAGCCCCTCAGAGAGCTCCTCGAACGTCAGCGTCCCTCCTCGGTCCTTGTCGAAGACGCGGAAGAGCATGTCTATCCTCTCCTCCAGGTCTCCCTGCGTTGAGAACTGGATGCTCAAGGTGTCGAGCAGACTGTCGAGTGGGTTCTGCAGCTTCAGCATCTCCGACTGGTCGTGCTCCTCGAAGATCTTCGCCTTCTCGTTCCTCGCGGCTGTGAAGAAGTTCTCGAGCAGGACGGCAACGAGCACCTGCAGCAAGACGATGACGACGATGAGCACGTAGCTGTAGATGAATGCTACTGTCCCGACATCGACCGTCCCGTCCGCGCGGAAGGCAGGGAGAGTGTCGTCAGGCCACTTGCCGTAGGCGACCACCCCGAAGAGCGTGTAGAACCCGCGGAAGAAATTTCCTGTCACACATCAGGTGCTGCTCCTGCCCCTCCTCCCCCTTCTCACGACCCTCCTCTTCCCTCTTGACAATCTCCTCCTCCCTCACCGAAGTCTCGTGGCGACTCGGAGCGGAAGAACTCAACTCCGAGGCTGCAGTAGACTGACAAGAGTCACAACTCTGGTGGCCCATGGGCAAGCGCAAAGAAAAGGGAGGGAGAGAAGGCAGGGGAGGGAAGCGCACGGAGTAGAGGGAGGGGGGAGGAGGAGGGAGTGGAGGGTCACCAGCCACAACAACAAGGCAGATCGCCAGAGTCTGGAGGACAGGGAGGATGCTGGCGAAGATGGCGTTGATGATGGTCCTTAGTCGCTTCAGTTTGCCGAACATGCGAATGATCCTGAAAGTCCTGAAAGTTCTGAGCGACCTGACGGCTGGAATTGCAGAGAGGGCAAGCTGGAGGATGGAGATGACGATGATAATGAAGTCAAAGATGTTCCATCCGTCAAGCACAAAGTCCCAGAAGAAGTTCGAGCAGATGTTGAGGATCAGCTCGACGGTGAAGATCACTGGAAGGAGCTCAGTAGCGCCTGGAGCAGCTCTCGTCACCTGTGAAGAAGATATCGAGGTTGTCGAACAAAGCAGCAGCGCTTGAGTTTGACTCCGGGTTGGTCTGCTTCTCGATGATGTTGACGAGGAAGTTGAGGATGAGGAGGATTGCGATGAAACTCTGACAGAGCACAGACGAGTACGTCCTCTTCATCCTCTTCTGCAGCAGAGTCCATTGGTTCAGCCGTTGTGCGGCTTTCCTCTCCCTCTTCGCCGTCTCTGTTAGGGTCTCGACCTTGCTCCTCTCCTCCTCCGCGTTGACGCACTTGAAGATGAAAGTGCGCCCAGAGTTGTATCCTCCTGGCTCCGTGGAGAACTGAAAGCGAAGCTCGCGGTGAGCCTGCATGCTGTCCATCTTTTCGCCTGCAAGCGTCACGGTGAGTCCCCGCCCTCGCGCCTCTTCAGCCCCTCCCACTCGCGTCACCTTCCACTAAAAAGCTCCGGGCGAAGGCGACGTTAGCGAAGTGAAGGCTGGTGGTGTGGTGTTGCGGTTTCACCCCTACGTCTCCCAGCAGGCTGACGTCCCTCATCTCCTTCCATGGTATTCGATCTGATATGCTCTGCTTCTCTTTTGACCTGTAGACTCCATGCTGCTCCAGCGCCTCGGACCAGTCCAGCGCCTCCTCAAAGCTGTTGAACTCTATCCGAAGCGTGTCCCCAGCACAACTGAGGAGGAGGCCTTTACCTCCATCCTCACGCTCCATCTTCACCTTCACCTTGTCTGCATCATAACTTCTCGTTGCTGCATTCACATCGACATCGTCGATATGCTCCGTTGGCAGGAAGTACAGCCATCCTTTCGACAAACGTAGATTCTCTTGTGTCGTTTCAGAGAGTAGATTGATGTTTGTCATCAAGCATGGTCCAGCCTTCTCTGGGGGAGGTTTTGTGTTGATCAAAACATACAGCCACTCCGTGTTTGCAATCAGAGTCCTGCTCTGCCATGTTCCGTTATGATGCAGTTTGTGCACTTGGAGCTCGAACAGCCTCGATGATTGTGGGATCAGAGTGTCAAGATCGCTTTCAGAGTCAGCAAAGGTCTGCAGAGGTGAAGTTACGGAGAGAGAAGAGGTGCGATTGTGGGTGGGGGTTGGCTGGCTGGGAGGTTTCAGAAGGGAAGAGGCGGCGACTGTAGAGCTTGCAGCAATCATGGCACTCCTACAACTGCCGCAATCTTAATAGCATGCCATCGTCAGTCAGGGGCAGCTGCAGAACAGCAAGCGAAGAGTGTTGCCGATAAAACTTGTTGCGGAAGTTCTAACTCTAAGAAGTTCCTAGCTTATCCCTGGGAGATTTAATGTTTGTGTTTGCTTTTTCCTAGCATCAATATCCAGGTCGCAATCTACCTCGTCGTCGTTCGTTCTCTACAATGATCTTGTTTTCTCATCATCTTCTGCTTCTGTGCAGTTACTGCCAATCTTGCCTTACCACCTGCACTCCACAAGGCACCCTACCCTCCCACTTTGGTCCCCAGTGTCCCCTTCCTACCCGTCCCCTCTCGTAGAATCCTTCCCTGGCACCTCCTCTAGTTTGAAGCTCTCCTTTCCCTATCTCTCACCGCTCTCCCCTCCCTCCCTCTCCTCGTCCTGCCATTTGACTCTTATCTTGCCGCACTGTCAAAAATTCTATCTCGCCCCCATGGACCACCCCCATGGCCTCACATCCCTCACCAGTACCGGTGGTACTGTAACCACCAAAGTTCCCGCCACCCCCCACCCCCACCCGACCCCAGCCTTTCAAGTGAACTTCTCAGTACCACTAATCGACTACCCACCCCTCCCCGAGCCACGAATCGGCGGGGGATCCATCATATCAGAGCCCTCATGACCGGATCGTGTAAATTTCCTGGTACCGGTACCTCACAGATAAAAGGATGGCTATTTATGAGGGTAGGGTCTTATCCGAGTGACAACAGGTGGTGTGAACATTTACTCAAAGTTAAGTTAAAAATGAGGCTGAAATAACTTTACTCAAAGTTCAAGGTAGTAAGTTAAAAATGCCAGTCGGAGTAGTCGGAAATAACTCGGACTCAGTGAATCGGAGCCGCACACACTGGTACATGAGAGCCTGATAGACCGTATCATCGGCTAGGCCCCGGAGCCTCCGAAGTAGTATGAGTGGCACGCGGCCGATCGGGCCCGCCGGCGGCCGGGCCGGGCGACCGGCGCCGGCCCGGCCTCTCACTGACGGTGGCAGGCCAGTGGCAGTGTGCCCGGGGCCCGGCCGGCGGCGCGGCCCGGGCGGCCGGTGCCAACCGGAAGTTGAACTTAACTCAAGTTGGGAACTTGAAGACTCAGCCCGTCGGAGCGCCAGCCCGGCCGCTTGGCGGCCCGGGCCCCGGCGCCGGCGGCGACGCGCATCGAACTTTGGAAACCGTCATGTAACGATCAGGCGTAGGACGACTGGAGGGTGGGTGGGATAGTATGGTGGGGTGGTAAATTTTATGGTACCCCTCCTTTCTCCTGCTGTTGTTGGGACGAGCACCTAAGTACATTTTCGCCCACCACCTCCAACACTCCAACAAATTTTGGCAGGGGGTGGGTGATACTCCCCTCCCATTTACGCCCTTTGCCAGGGATTGGGGGACCTTGACCCCTGGTACACTTCTACCACCCCCTTTTCCACCCCTACCCCCTCGATAAGAAAGGCCATGCTTGTTCCTCTACCCCCAACCTTATCCAACTCTACTACCCTACCTGTCTGAATCCATTGCCCCACCCCCTATGACATCGAAGATTGTGTGAAGGGACCCCGAGGATGAGCTACCCCACCCCCATATCTCCATTGTATCACCCCACCCTGCTCGTCGGGAACCATTCCCCCATATTAGTTGCAATGTTGTGCCAGCAGGCTGATGGTCGAGGGGAGGAGGGAGGAGGGGAGGCACTGACCACTAGGCAGAGATCATCTGCGACAGATGGTAATGGTGCGCTAGAAACTCAATTCCTTGTAGCCCCATCGCGTAATCATTGACCCTTTGGTAGGCTTACTTGCATCAGAAAGGTCGCAACAGGAGTTTCACTTATTCAAACTAGTTTGATGGTTGATTAGTCGACAGACATGCTCTCAGGTGTTGACTATGATTAGCGCAATCACCAATTATAGAAGAACCACGTAGATAATGGCTTTCGCAAATTGGTGATGCTTGAGGCCCTGCAGTAGCAGCGAACTCAATCCCAGATCATCTGCACGACATGAACATCTTCATCTTAGGAGCCAGCGTGCTTAGAGCACAATAAGCTGATGCCTGTGCAGGCTATGTCTTCTTTTGTGCTGAATGAATCGAATGAGATCCCCAATGACATGTTTACTAGGAAATTCTTTGCTGCATGCGTCGATGACAGAGCAAGACTTAGCACAACCTGGTGACGGTGCAGAAGACATCAGCGAGTGTGTGCGACAGGTTGTTGTGTCCATTCTGTGTGTTTCGTTCTCTTCTGAGCTCAATAACAGTTGGCTACGGGTGATGATGCAACTGCAGCTCGAGCAGCAAGATACCTCTTTCAAAAAGCACATGCTGCGGATAAGCATAACAGGGAAAACAAAGAGAAGATGGATCGTCAAGGAGCAGTCAATGCACTCTGTAGTATCTTAAGGTTAAATTTATCACTGGTTCATCTTTGTGCTGCCCTTGATCGCCTCAACAGGTCTGGATCAGTAGAAGCAAGGTACCAAGCTTGCAGCGCTCTCAGTGAGCTTGCGTACCAAAATGAAAAGATCTGTATGGCGATCATCAACGCGCCGGGTTGCCTGGAATGTCTAAGACTGCTGCTTCAAGAACATGATGGAAACAATCAAGAGGATGCTGCTCTGGTCATCAACAATTGCGCTGCTTTCAGTCAACACACACCCATACATATCGTACAATTTCCAGGTATTTTCTCTCTTTCTTCCTTGTTGCCCCGGTTCTTTTATTTGCTGGCTTGGAATTCTGCGATAATACGAACATTTTATTTCTGACATGAATATCAGGCATGCTTGATGCCATCAGATCTGTAGCGAATGGAAGGCACGTGGGAGCGCGAAATGCGGCAATCTCGGCGTTGAATTGCATGTCAAGATCGATCGAAGCAGCTCAAGCTCTTATTCATGCTAGGATAGTTGAGGAGGTGCTCACTCCAATATTATCGGAGAAGGGAAGAGGAGAGAAATATGAGGCCCGGGTTGCTCGCGCCGTCTTGGCGATTGCGAACATCATGGGAGCGAAGGGAGGGTATGAGATTTGTGCCCCAGTATTAGCCAAGTATCCGAATCACCTGGAAATGGCTGTGAACATTCTGGGGTATCTCACTTCCTACGTGGATTCCTGTCGCTAACCTCTTGTTCGACAGGCACTCGTTGAACGGGTTGAAATGGGGTGGTATTCTTTTTGCTTTGTACAGTGTAATTATTCCAATGAGTCATCTGTCTGCCATCAAGGAAAATCAAGTGCGATCTGCGTTGTTGCTTGTTCTGACCTATTCTGACTTCCAGCCTCTTAGGCAAGGCTGGTAGAGTTGGGAATGATCGAAAAATTAGCCAGAGTGCTTCGAGAGTGGCAGCCAGGGTAAGCAGTGGCATGAGCCGAGGCCTCGACATGTCTCACATGCTGGCAGGCACCTCTCTGACAGCGTCATGGAACGAGTGCTTCTCATCATCCTCAGCATCAACGATCAGCCCGAGTTCCAGCATCGGATTCGTTTGAGCGGGTTGATAGCGGGGTTGCAACAGATTCAGCTCGGCCTGCGGAACGAGCCTCCACAGTGTCGGGCGCTGGCCGAGCAGCTGCTGTCGAGCCTGCTGGAGTGCCATGTCGCCGTGTGCATGGGTCAGCATGCTCGTCTTGGCGCTGACTCTCCGCTCATGCTCCTCGACGACTTTGTATCCTCCCTGATCTTGGACATGGCCTTCCCAATGAATTGACTTGACCCCCACCCCCACCCCCTCCTCTCTCCTCACTGCACCCACCCTACACTCCTCTTTGTCATCTACCCCCAAGCATACCTGATGACCCCTGAAATTACAGTCGATAGTACCCCTTCATTTTTACCCTTACCCTAACTTTATCCCAGTACTCACACTCTGCCCCTGATAAGGCTCTAGTTGCAACCATATAAACCCCTCAGGGAGACAGGGAGACAGGGAGGAGGCTACTGGTGAAGACAAGACAAGGAGGTAGAGAGAAGTGAAGAGAAGAAGGTAGAGAGAAGAAACAAGAAGAACAGGAGGGACGTGAGATTCTCCTTGGCATTGTTCTGTTTGAACTTTCCCTCTCCTTACTCACCTTCATAGTCGTCCTCGGTTCAGATTGGGTCTCAGGTAGCACGACCGATAGCGGGATGTGTGATATTGTATAGTGAGCCAACCCTGCTGCTACCATGCTACCCACCTGGACTTCAGCACTTGCTGGAGCTTTAATCTGCTCCCTTGAAATCATCCAAGGAGCAACCTCCACACCAGCAGCCTTCGCTCATGTCCAAACGCATGCACGTGTACATGGCTCGGGTTCACTCAAGCTGAATGGTGTCCGGCGTTCAACTTCATGCCGACTGCGAGCTCCTTTGTCGGTATGGCAGTGCTTGTGCTTGGTCTGCTCTAACAGTGAACATCAGGTCACCTCACATCTTTCTTCGCCCCCGACCTCTTGCTTCGATCCTGACATCCTCCGTCAGCAAACCCCGACCACCACGGTCCCTTCTGGGATGCCCCAACCCCAGCTGCAGGTCCAGATCGACAATCTCAAGCTAGAGGCAATCCCCTGGCTCGCCACCATGACGCTCGCGCTCAGCTGGATGCCAGCAACGCACTCGCTGCTGCCAACCTACGCGCATGTCCTGGCGGAGCTTGTCTTCGCCTCTTACCTGACTGTCCAGGCTCGACTGCTGGATTCTCCGAAGGCTCCCGAGCCCTTGTCGCGCGATGTGAGAGAGCTGTGGGAGCTGTGCTTGATGACTGGAGCTGAGGGACCCCGCGAGTTTCTCTCCGGCTGGTTCTACGGTGCTGATTTCGAGCGCATTCGCCGGGAGGACATGCACGACTTTCTCGCCTGGGCAACTTTCAGCAGCACGCCAGACCGCCTGGAGAAGGAGAGCAAGCGGCTGCTGGAGGACGTTTTACAGCTGATCGAAGAGCGGACTGGTTCTTCCTTTCGTCCTCGCTCAGCCGGCGAATCTCCTCTTCCTTGCATGCGATTCAACATCGAGCCGCTGCAGTTCACGCACAAACCTCTCCTCTACTATGCTGTCTGTCAGTCTCTGCTCGGTTCCCTCGGCAGTTCTCAGCTCGGCATGCTGGGCTTTGAGAAATTCGGCTCCGATGCCTTCGACTATTGGATGCGCGTTCCCAAGTCCCTGGAGGGGAGGAAGCGAACACCCATCGTCTTCTTTCACGGCGTTGGCGTCGGGTTGGTGACCTACGTCAGCGTGCTCCGCGAGCTCGTCGCTCTTGACTGCCCCATCCTGTGCGTTGAGATCCCGTTTGTGTCCAGCAACTTAGAGGCCAACGTGCCGAGCATCAGTGAGCAGGTCGCGAGCATGGAGAGCATCTTCGCTCGCTGGGATATCAGCAAGGCTTTCTTCGTCGGGCACTCGTACGGTACGGTGATGACATCATGGATGATCCATCACCTTCCTTCCCGGGTCGCTGGCGTCGCCCTCATTGACCCTGTTGTGATGATGCTCAACCTTCGGGACATTCTCTTCAACTTCCTCTACCGCCATGAGCGCGAGGGCAGCATCTCCGACCTGATCGGCTCCGAGCTCTTCCTCAACCATGCGCTTCGTCGCAACTTCTGGTGGTACCGCAACATCCTCTGGGCCCAGGACCTCGAAAAGCACAAGATCCCTTCCATCATCTGCCTGTCTGAAAGAGATCAGATCGTCCCCTCTAGTGCAGTCCTGCACCACATCGCCGAACATGCTGCTGGTCTCTCCGAAGCTTCTTGTGTCGAGGCGTATGTGATGGGGGATGCGAAGCACGGTCAGCTCCTGTTTGATGAAGAGGTGAACACCATCTCCACTTCTTCGTTTGTCGATTGATGCGCTCCTGCAGATCAGGAACGAGCTGGTCTCGAAGATCAGCGGCATGTGGAGGAGGTGAAAATAAGAATGAGCCGTCTTTCTCCTCACGCACATTCACAGGGTCAATGAGGCGACACCAGAGGAGAGCGCCGTCATGCGAACCCCTCCTCCACCTGCAGCTCCTCGTAGCCTGACGCAGCTCGCAGTTCAGGTATCTATTAGTATTCAATAATTCTTCTTCGCTTCCTACGTTATTTTGAAACTTTTCACTCATCTAAATCATTTGCAGGTGCGATGGCGTCTAAGAAGGGTCGCTCGCCCGGTCCTTCAGTTGTTGCAGCCGACAAGCGCCGCTTAGTGATTGAAGGTTCGCGTCTTCATCTACCAGGTCTCGGCTCCTTTCGCTCTCTTCTTTCTCCCCTCTGGCGTCATGTCGACTGTTTTTCCGCTCTTCCTGATCTTGGCGATGTATCTCTGCTCGAGTCCCTTCACCAGCTGCGGAGCTGTCGCGGTCATGAGGATGTTGAGGGCCCATTTCGGCATCCCGCCGAGCTTGTTGATCTCAAGCGTGGTAATGAGCGACTTGTCCGGGAGCTCGGGGTGCGGCATGATGGTGTTGGTTTTGAGGGAGAGGACCTTGTTCTTGTCGTCGAAGGCGTTCTTCTTCTCGTCCCATGGCACCATGGCGGTAGACACGCTTCCTTGTCGCGGAAAGTCCCAACGCCTGACGTACTTGACGAGGAGGGAGCGGGGAATGCCGACCATGTGCATGAGGGTACCGAAGTCAAGCTTGGACCTGATGACCACGTCGTCGTCGTCGACTACGTCTCCTCCCATCGGCAGCTCGTAACCGCGGTAGTTGGTGTCCCATTCTCTCCTGCGATCTCCGAAGAAGAGGAACATGTCGAGGCACTCCTTGTAGGTCAGGTCGAGGGTCATCACCCCCCGCAAGAAGATCTCGTTCTTATGCCGCTTGAGCTTCTCGTCCACGGGCTGCGATCGGCAAAGTCAGGAAGATGGCGAATAAGTGGAGAGGTGAGGGGACAAGGGGAGCAGGAGAAGGAGAAGGAGAAGGACAAGGAGAAGGAGAAGGAGATGGAGATGGATACCTTCTTGTCAATTCGCATCCACTTGTTTTGGTAGACGGTCACCCAGCCGTCCTCATTTGCACCAGTGTCAGCCAGCAGTCCACACATCTCGATGAGACCGTCGACTTCAAAGACTGAGCCTCCTCCTGAGAGCGAGGAAAGAGATTGATCAGTGCCGCTCTCGCCCTCTTCCTCTTTCTGCCTCTTGGCATATAGCATCATCTCCCTGAAGTCTTTGAAGTCTCCAATCTCCAGCAAGAGCTTCACAGTTCGAGCAGTTTCCTCTCTGTGCGCCTCCGAGCTCTCAAGGTATGCAGGAAGCGCCTCCATGAGCCCTTCCATGCCCGTGCCTGGAGGCAAACTTTGCTCTATTAGCTTCTCGATGCCTTCCTCGTACTCCTTGTGGATGTCAGTATAGATGAGCTTGTTCTCATCCTCGAAGGAGAAATGCTCAAGATTCCGATCCACAAATTGCTTGCGCCAGGTTTCGAACTCAGGTCCCTGGATCATCTTTTCAATGCTGAGCAACGCACGGAAGATTTCATCGGACTGCATGGCAACCACGAGACGAGGCGGAGAAGGTCAGGCGATTCAATGTATGCAAGAACGAGCAGGAGAAATAGATATAACCAAGAGATGACGAGCAGGGTGACAGAAGGAAGAAGGATGACGAGCAAGGTCGTAGGGAGGAGACGGAGGGAGGAGACGGAGGGAGGAGACGGAGGGAGGAGACGGAGGGAGGAGACGGAGGGAGGAGACGGAGGGAGGAGACGGAGGGAGGAGACGGGTACAGCGCTACGAATGTGGGGAAGGGGAATAGAGACAAAAATTGTTTCTAATGATCACCCCTACCCCCATATATTAGAACAAGTACCCCCATTTGTTACGACCCTAACTCAGCCAGGTACCCGTCGTGTCAACCTTCATTCAAAGGGAAACCACCGGGTCCTTCTGGCAGGCCCTGCTCATCGGGCCCGGTTGGAGCACTCGGGACTCGGAGACTGAAACTTCCTCGGGACTGGTCAGAGTGGAGACGAGGGCGATTCCATGGTTGTTACAAGCGCTTTTGTTATGGCGGCGAATATCGTGATGAGTTCCTCCCCTTCCCCCTCCTCCTCCGTCTCCTCATCTCTCTTCGCTACTAAGGGCACACCGGTGCCAAGAATTGGGTTGGGACTTGCCGCTCTCGGGAGGCCTGGCTACATCAACCTGGGGTAGGCAGAACCAGAGGCTTTGCGTGCATGACTGTATTATGCAGGAGGAGCGAGGAACTGAGCACATCCAGTGAGCGCAGCGTGGAGCTCATGAAGGAACAAACTTTCCAGGTGTTGGATGCGGCATGGGCATGTGGAGTGAGATACTTCGATGCGGCTCGATCATACGGTAGAGCAGAAGAATTCTTGTCGTCTTGGTTGGAAAGCCGAAAGGTTGAGAGTCAAGACGTCTGCATAGGAAGCAAATGGGGTTATCGATATACAGCAGGTGCCATGAACAGCATACAATCTGTGCCCTAATGTGCCCCTCGCAGAATGGAGGATCGACACTGGAGGAGCTCCGCACGAAGTGAAGGATCATTCAACGTCGCACTTCTTGAAGCAGCAGCAGGAGACTCTCCACCTCCTCAAGGATCATCTTCGCTTGTATCAGATCCACTCTGCCACTCTCGAGAGCGGAGTGCTGGAAAACGAGGAGCTCTTGAACGAGATGAGGAGGTTCAAGGCCGAAAATGGAGTGGGGCTGGGGCTGAGTCTCTCGGGGACACAACAAGCGCAAGTGCTGGAGGCAGCGCTCAAGATTCCGATGGAAGAAGGAGGAGACCTTAGCCAAGGGCGCTTGTTTGACTCCGTCCAGGTCCATCCCTTGACGAGCTCCTGGATCGCTCACTGTTCGCAGGCCACATGGAACCTAGCTGAGCAGTCAGCTGGTGAAGCGCTGCACCAAGCACGAGTAGCGGACCTCCAAGTGATAGTCAAGGAGGCCATGGGCAACGGACGGCTACTGAAGGTAAGCTTTGAGAGCTTTGGTCTTCTCTGATCCTTCATCAACCACCGCTAGGGCTCAGCGTCGCCATCACTCAGGAAGCTCGCGGATCACATGGGGTGCTCACCAGATGCTCTTGCCCTGGCATGTGAGCAGCTGGCTGTTGCCTTGACAGTTTTGACGCTCTACAGGCGTCCTTCTCCAGCCCTTCCAACCCCTCGTGCTCTCTGGTGCTGCCACACCTGACCAGGTATGGATTCAGGTCAGACACATTCGGCTCAGCTGTTTCTCAGATGAGGTCAAACTTCGAAGCGGTCAGCCTGTCTGCAAGTATTCAGGCAGACCCAAGCAAGATGTCTCTTGTCCAATCTCTGATGAACGAGGTTCAACCCCTTTGCACTCATGCTCCCAGGCTACTAGTTTGACGGCTCGTCCGAATGCTTGCAGGTGCGAATGTCACCCGACGAGTACTGGAATGAGAGGTCCCAGTTGAAATGGAACTGATGCCGGCATTGTCATTCTTTGTTGGCGTCAAAACTATTGTGCTCCTGGGTGCTTCATCCTGTACGTGTCTAGAACAAACGGAAAGTGGAAGGTGTCGGGAGTGTTTACTTGGGTGAGGCAAGAACATCCTCACGCAGAACCTCAACAACAGACTTGAAAGCGAACCACTCAGGAATGTCCTCCCCGCTGTCAATCACATCATCAGTTCAACAATCGGATCAGAAGCCACGCGGTCACCTGCGAAGCATCTTCCTGAACTTGGTACCTGAGAGCTTCAGAGTTTCCAGTCCCTCCTCCTTGGCTTGTTCAGCGGTCACATAGCCCTGTCAACATAGGTCATCACAAACACTCGCAACTGTCACCGTACCTTCTCCTGCGTATAGACAAGGTTGAGCGAAGGGACAGGGGTAACTCCGAGCTCAGGACCATGCTTCTTGGCGAAGTCCTGTTCGAACCAAGGTCACTCTCTCCACTCTCTCACTTTTCCTCCCGCCCTGCTTACCTGAGCATCGTAAGGACCGTAGAAGTCATCGCCAGTGATCGAGCTCTTGGAACCGGCCATGTCGCGGCCGATGATGAAGTGAGTGCAACCGAAGTTCTTGCGGATCATCATGTGCTGGATGGCCTCACGAGGTCCAGCCATGTGCATAGAGTAGGGAAGGTAGTCCCATCTGATCCTGGGGTTCTTGGTCTCCTCCGCCAGGCGCACGTATGTCTTGTAGCGAACGGTTCCCGGGATGTCGTCAGCCTGGGTGGGGCCACAGGTTGGATGCACGAGGACAACACCTTCAGGACCGACTTCAGGAGCATCGAGAGCGCGAGTGAAGAGCTCGTAATGAGCACGATGAACGGGATTTCTGCACTGGAATGCAACAACATCCTTGTCATCAGGAAGGTCGGTCCTAACCTCAGCAGGAGTCCTGCAAGGGAACTCACGGACTGGGAGGTTGAGGCCCTGAAGACTTCCACCACAATAGAAAGCTCCACGCTCAGTGGAAACCATCAAGACACCGGGATGCTCCAACGTTGTGACTCCATAGCACTGCTTGCACTCGTGAACCTTGTCTGGCTTAAAACGATCCTCAATGGTGAAAACAGCGATGTCACGGTCTCCCTGCTTCAGCAACACTTTCTTTCCTGGAACAAAATCATCGCGGTTGGTGTCGAATACGATGGGGAGGCCGAAGAGAAGACCACTAGGCAGCCTCATGTCATCAACAACCTTCTTGTAGGTCTCCTCGTTCATGAACCCGTTCAATGGAGAAAGTCCACCATTGATGATCAGCTCTACGTCGCAAAGCTGACGATCAGTAAGCTGGTGCTCAAAGTGGCATGACGAGGCGATCTTCTTCTTCTCCGCCTCGTCCTTCACCATCAGATCCACAAGCTTTCCTCCGTGCGGGGTTTGCTTCGCAGCCATCATCGTCAACGCTGACCGCCTCACAACAGTCCTGCCGGTGTCAGCCTTAGGGCGAAGATTCGTCCTGGCAGCAGCAAGCACTCGGAAAGAGGACAGGGATGCGGGACCCGAGGGAGCAAAAGCGCTGGCTCCTGCCATCGCGCAGGCGATGAGCGCGACGCGAGAGAGCAGCATTGCGGCAGAGGTGAACGGCCTCCTCGAGGCTTAAGAGTGCGGTCGGGTGGTAGGGGTGCTTGTGATCCAGCAAGGGTAGTATTGATAGGGGTACATAGAGATATTCGAGGTTCAAGCTTGGGGATTTAGAGGGGTGGGGTAGTTTGAAACGGGGGTATGTCTTAACAAAGGTAGGGTACTGACGATTACCCCTGGACCAACCGAGACCCCTTGAGACACCTATACCACCACCCCTACCTCATCCACCACCCAACAGGGCAGGCGACCGTACTACCGTACCTTACCCCGTCGGACGGTCACGTCGCACGTGTGACGTAGACTCTGAGGGTAACCCCCACCCCCTATGCGCCTGATCATGACCCCCACGTTTTCCTACCAGTCACTGATCCGCACCTTCCCGAAGGCTCCAGCTTACCCCTACCCCTACCACTCTCCACAGCTTACCCCTACCCCTACAAAGCAGGCCGACTGCCTAGCTTTGAGTAAACCTAGCTTTTTGTGACTACGGTGAAGTTGGAAGGCCCGGGCCGGCGATGGGCCGCTCCGAGGCTCCGAGCCGCCACCGGGGCCCATCCGATTGTTTACAGTACTCAAAGTCATTCAAAGTCAACTGGCCCTATGCAGGACGATGCGTTGCCAAGTTCATTGCGGCAGGCTTTCTCAGACGGTGGTGGCTGGCCGGGCGGATAGACACTGAGTCACATCGGACTCCGGATGATCGCCGGACGCGCCGCACTGTTCCGCACAGCGAGAAGCTGTACTGACGGTGACTGAGTCAACTTTCTGGTATCTGGCGGACATCATTGCTCAGCGCTCGATGCTTCTTGAGGATGCGGCGTTTGGTCGGCACTTCGACGGTGCCTGATGACGGCCGCGTGCGGCTGCTGAGGTCTTGGCCCTCGCAAACGCGCCGCCACCTATCAGCGCCTCACTATGCAGCTGACTGTGGAGGCGCTCTTGTCTGATGCCCGCCGCTCGGAGGCGCATGACGCCCTTGCCAAGTTGCGGGCGCAAGCCAGAGGACACTGCCCCGGAGTCCTCGGACTTTGTCGAGTCGCCCGGCGAGGAGGAGTCTTCCGACCGCGGCCGGAGGTCTCAGGGACTCCGATGGGGGCCCAACTCTTCGAGTGGCGCCGACGACCGGCGCGGAGCTGCCGCGACTCGCTGAGGCGTCTCCGTCCCTCACTGTGACGTCGGGTGCCTCCGGAGAGCTCGACACCACTGGGCGGGGCCCCGCGGGGCCGGGGGTGTGCCCCCCCAAGTTGCTGCTGGTCCGAGCTCGCCTGCTTCCAAGTTCACTGGTCACCGGTTCCTGCCCGGCATCGGTTCCTCCCCGGCATCGGTCGGGTCACGCCCGGCCGGTCCTTGGCCCATTGCCGCGGCGTCGCCCGGCCGTCCGACCGTACGGTCACGGGCCGCGGTCACCGGGTGTTCACGGTTGGTTTCGGCCCTTCTGCCAGGCTGACCGTCGGAGGCTAGCGAGGAGGACTACCGGGCCTCGCCGAGTCGAGCGGCACCGTGTTCCTGTGCCACGGTCCAGCCTCCCTCCGTCCGCTGCTGGACTTGTACCGTAGTCCAAAGGGTCACGCAGATTTCACATTGACCTTAGCGTAGTCCAAAGGGTCACGCAGATTTCACATTGACCTTAGCCCAGTGTAACAAGAAAGTTTTTGCTCAAGACCGAGTTTAATGCACACAAAACCAGAATTGAGGAGCACATGAGAGATAGACTGTATGCTAGGATGTGAAACCCAAGCATCCAGACATGAGAGGACCTTAGCAAGACGGAAAGCCCACTCTTCGTCCCACGTACTACATGCCGCCTTGCCACGTAAGTCGTCTTGGTGTACAGGAGAGTCTTTCAAGTTGTCACTCGGCGCTATCTGACTGGCACGGCTGGCATACGTTCCACCACCCAGGCCCGGCGGACTCAGTGACCCCCGGGCAGCGCCGGCTCCTTGTCGGCGGCTGCCCACAAGGAGCCGGCGCTGCCGCCCTTTCTCCGTCCGCGGCCGCCAGCTTCAAGTTTGCGGCGGCAGCGGACGTCTCGACTGACAGTGGTCAGTCGGCTGCCTCCGGGTATCGCGTCTAAGGGATGTTATTCCTCCTGCATGCTCCTGCTGCTTGTTGCTTGCTTGCTTGACCCTTCGGCTGCTTGTCTGCGCGGCTTCGCGCTTGGGCTGGCGATGCCGCGTCTGGTTGCCAGCAGTGCTGGTTGTTTTCGGGCCTGTGTTTTGTAAATCCGTGTACTGACTGTTCTTTTCGGGCTTGTGTTTTGTGTGTGTTTGTGCAGCTTCTCGCTGTGCGCTGTGTGCCAGGAGGTTTAGCTTGTTCCTGCTTTGTTTTGCTTGAGGCACTTTTTACCTTCTGCCAGCAAATCCATCTCGCTTGATTGCTTGACCCTTCGGCTGCTTGTCTGCGCGGCTTCGCGCTTGCCGGGGCTGGCGGTGCCGGGTCTGCTGACCGTTCGGTTGCCAGCAGTGCTGGTTCTTTTCGGGCTTGTGTTTTGTGTGTGTTTGTGCAGCTTCTCGCTGGTCGCTGTGTGCAAGCAGGTTTAGCTTGTTCCTGCTTTGGAGAAGATTCGCAAACATCGCGCTGCATATGCCATGACTACGACGGACGGTACCCGCAAACATCGCGCTGCATATGCCATGACTACTCCTCCTCGAGCGTTCATCCCTCTTGCCATCTCGACGGACGGTACCCTGCATCCTGACACCCTCCGCTTCATCTGGTATCTCGCGGACATCATTGCTCAGCGCTCGATGCCTCTTGAGGATGCGGCGTTTGGTCGGCACTTCGTGCCTGATGACAGCCCTGCTGCTGAGGTCTTGGCTCGCAAACGCGCCGCCACCTATCAGCGCCTCACCATGCAGCTTACGCTGGAGGCGCTCTTGTCTGGTGCGAGGCGCATGACGCCCTTGCGGGCGCAAGCACTTCTCGAGCCAGAGGACAGCTCCTCCTCGGACTTTGTCGAGTCGCCCGAGGAGTCTTCGCCGGAGGTCTCCGACTCCGATGGGGAAAACCCTTCCAGTGGCCCCGACGATCGGCGCGGAGCTGGCGAGGCGTCTCCGTCCCTCACTGTGACGTCGGGTGCCTCCGGAGAGCTCGACACCACTGGGGTGCTTGCTGCTGGTCCGAGCTCGCCTGCTTCCTCCCCGGCATCGGTCGGGTCACGCCGGTCCTTGGGCATTGCCGCGGCGTCGCCGCCGTCACGGGCGGCTACCGCTGACTTGGCTACCGCTGACTCGGAGGCTAGCGAGGGGGGTAGGATTTACTGGCAGAAGGTAAAAAGTGCCTCAAGCAAAACAGGAGGAGGACTACCTCGAGCGGTACCGTGTTCCGAAGTTCCTGTGTCCAGCCTCCCTCCGTCCGCTGCCCCAGCCGCGGACCCCCGGGCAGCGCCGGCTCCTTGTCGGCGGCTGCCCTTTCTCCGCCCGCTTTGTGCCGGCAGCGGACGTCTCGACTGACAGTGGTCAGTCGGCTGCCTCCGGGTATCGCGTCTAGTAAGGGATTTTATTCCTCCTGCATGCTCCTGCTGCTTGTTGCTTGATTGCTTGACCCTTCGGCTGCTTCTTGTCTGCGCGGCTTCGCGCTTGGGCTGGCGATGCCGGGTCTGGGTGCCAGCGAGTAGTATAGGATTTACTGGCAGAAGGTAAAAAGGAGGGGTGGGTAGGATTTACTGGCAGAAGGTAAAAAGTGC